TGAGTTTTAAGTCTCGCATTTTATACCAGGGGCCCCACTGAAACCTGTTGTTTAATTTTTATACCATGAAGGGAAGCGCAATGAGCATTAACCTAACCAGTTAAACTAGTTCCTCCTAACTACCTGGTTTGGGGCTCTATAAAAGTCCCGAGTCATACTTTTACTTATTTAGATCCTCTACTTTGCTGCAAAAATATTTTAATTTTATCTATATATCCCCTTTTGCTGCAAATATTATTTTAAAAGTGATGTGCTGGAGGTTGGGTCCCAGGTTAAGAGTGACCCTAGAAACTGCCAAATCAACTCATTTTTATATTCACTAAATTAAAAAGGATTGCACAGTAAATATACAAGACAGAAGTGCTATTAAGTTAGCTAAAATTGGTAGCAAAGGAGATCCGACAATAATTCTCTGTTGGTTGACCAGAAAGCTGCAGTGGCCCTTTCTTCTCCATGAAACCGTGGTTGTGTGACTCAGAGTTTGCATTCCTGAAATGGTGTTGTTCCAATTTTTTGATGTGAAACCATCAAGTCCCTCTGTGTTACTGCATCTCAGGGTAACTTAGTGCTTGAAGGGTGAGATGCTTTGAGTGTCTGTTTAATCTACTTGGAACAGTGTGGTAGGTTTGTCTTCAAACTCCCAGAGTTTTTGGCTTTGCCCTTGACTACACTCCCTGGTAAAGCATTTTCCTTTCATCTCTCCTCCTCTCCCTACCTTCACAGATGGGTCTCAATTTCTTTTCATCAGCTTCCTTTCTCTCCTCCAAGCCCGCACTCTACAAATCTCCGTTCTTGCTGGGCTTTTAGCTTTGCCTTTCTCTCCTCTTCCTCATGTGCCCATGTCGCCCTGTGTGTACTGACCTGGGATATCCCATAGGTGGGAGCAGTCACGGGCAGATGTTGTTTTACTGGCTTTGCACAGAAGCATAAACGGGGCTGCAGCTAATGACAGAATGTCTTACAGGGGATCATGGCCCCTGTGTATTGGGAGCCAGGTCATACGACATGTACTTTGTATATATAGACACCTTATGCATCAACTCTCTCTTGTTGTCTGTTAGCATAGATCTGTCAAGTACTCTTAGATCAGTAGATAATATTCCACTGACCCCCTTGTGTTTATTCCTAACTACTGATTTGTCGAATGGAAGCTCTCAAGCTTGGTTGGGGCTATTAGCACGCCAGACTTTCCATACCTCTCAGGGCTAAAGGAGGCTTTTCCATGTTCTTTTCCCCAATAATTAAAAAGAAATTTTTTTTGTTAATCCTCACCCGAGGATATTTTTCCATTGATTTTGAGAATGGAAGGGAGGGGGAGAGACAGGGAGAGAGAGAGAGAGAGAGAGAGAGAGAGAGAGAGAGAGAGAGAGAGAGAGAATTATCGATGTGAGAGACACATCAATTAGTTGCCTCCCACACGAGCCCTGACCAAGGCCATGGATCAAGCCTGCAACTGAGGTACGAGCCCTTGACTGGCATTGAACCCGGGACCCTTCAGTTCAAGGGCTGACACTCTATCCACTGAGCCAAACTGCCTAGGGCTCCCCAAGAATTTTTAAGCACCACTTTGACATCCTAAATAGATAAATAAAGAAACATTAGCTTGAGAACAAAGTTGTCACTGTAGGCTTTGTATATTCCTGCTCTGGACTGATGCACATTAAGCGGTGGCTTACCTTTGATTTGGGATGTGGAGAGCTGTCGATGTGGGCGTGCATGATAGTCACATATCTATAAAAATGTTGCTGCGTGCCTTTTTTTTTGCAGGTCACTTTAAATCATTACACAGCATAGCTGCATTTTAATTTCAGATGGAAGAAGTCCGTGAAGTTTAATTGCCTCTACTAGGCCTGGTTGAGTGATCAGCAAGTCAAATGATTAATTTCCTACTGAACAGAGACAGAGGGGGAGGGATTCACTGGGAGAACCCCGCAGGGCCTTGGTTCTTGCCCTGAATATCCTGGAGTCCTCCGGGGCCCGAGGCCTGTGTGGCCCAACACATGCAATTTTGCTACTCAGTGGGCCATGCTCTGAGGAGGGCTGAGTGATGGGATAATTAGAACCAAGCCGTCGGCAGGGTGGATGGTATGTCTGCAGCTAATAGCTTGTTTGCTAATTGCCAACACCAGATTTTCTGGGTAATTAGACATTTGGTTTCTTCCAAGACCTTCTGTGCAAACGTGGACACATGGCCGTAGGCCTTCCAGGTAGCAGGTGCGGAGAGGGTGGCTCCAGTGCAGGATGGCATCTCTCCGCTGGCTGCCCCAAGGGCCATGGCATGGCAGACATCTCCCCAACAGGTGGACAGGGCCATCTGGCTGGACCCCTAGTGGAGAGGCCAAATCCCCCAGCTTTTATAGCAGTGGATGCCCCTGTGCTAGGAGAGCGGCAAAGAAGGCAGAGGCCAGCAGGCTGGTCCAGGAGCCTGGCTTCTGTCTCCATCCTCCTTCCAAGAGCACTGAGCTTTGGGTGCTAATAGGAATCAGAACTTGCTTCCCCTCTCAGATGGGCAAGTTGATTTTTTTAAATAAAAAATATTTGTTGTGGTAAAGTAAAAAAAATATATAATCAATATTTGTGGTAAAGTAAAAAAATATATATAATCAATATAAAATGTAAGATTTGCCATTTTAACCATTTTTAAGTGTACAAATCTTTGGAAATAATTACAGTCAGTATTGTGTAACCATCATCCCTATCTGTTTCCAAAACTTTTTCCTTACCAATATAGAAATGGTACACTCTGTTCCTGCCTCTTTCCAGCTCCAGGTAACCTCGAATCTACCTCCTGTCTCTCTGAATTGGCCTTTTCTAGATATTTCATATAAGTGGAATCATGCTGTATTTCACCTTTTGTGCCTAGCTTATTTCACTTAGCATAATGTGTTCTAGATTCATCTATGTTATGACATGTATGAGAATTTTATTCCTTTCTACAGCTGAATAATACTCCATTATATGGATATACCATATTCATCCATTGGTGGATATTAGGTTCTTTCTACATTGTGCTTATTGTGACTGCAGTGACATTCACATACAAGTATCCGTTTGAATCCTTGTTTTCAGTTCTTTGGGGTAGATACCTAGGAGTGGAATTGCTGGGTCATACGGTAATTCTATATTTGACTTTTTGAGGAGCCACCAAACTCTTCCCCAGTGGCTGTGCCATCTCGCAGTCCCACCAGATATATATAAGGGTTCCGATTTGTCCACATCCTTGCCAACACTTGTCATTTCTGTTCCTTTTTTATGATAGCCATCCTAGTGGGTGTGAAACAGTATCTCATGGTGGTTATGATTTGCACTTCTCTAACGATTACTAATGCTAAACATCTTTTTTGCCATTTGTATATATTCTTTGGAGAAGTGTCTGAGTCCTTTGCCCAGCCAGTTGATCTTTTTGCCTCTGCACCTTTCTCCCCGTGGTTGGAATTGAGCCTCATCAGGAGAGGGGAGGTGTCTGTGCAGAGTGGAAGCCTCATGTTCACTCTTCAATGATTCATGCCATTCCCTCAGCCCGTTTGGTACCCACGGCCATGATGCTGTTTGAGTTCTCACCAAGCAGGAAAAAAGAATCCGCAAGTGGGATTATCCAGTGGTTGACAGCGGAGGCCGAGGGAGCCGCACCTGGTCTCCTCATGAAGCAGACAGGCCCTTCTCAGACACCCCACACTCTCTGGGTTTCCTTGACCACAAGTTTTATTTTAGCAAGTTACCATTTTTTCCTCCCAGGTACTAGGCTATGTACCGAGTGGAGCCGTACTTGTAGAGCACCCCGGATGGCGCCTGGCATTTGTAGGTGCCCAGAGTCTGGCATCGTCTCTGCAGTGAGAGCCCATGGTTCTTGATCTGCGGCCCTGCCAGTCCTGGGCAGTGGGAAGGGACAGCCGTGCGGAGCCTCCAGCACTGACCGGGCACAGTGTGACTTCTCCTTGGGTGCTCACTCCTGGGCGAGAGCCCCCGGCTGTGCCCAGGTTTCAGGACAGATATCCGTGCCTGAATAATGGCAGGAGCAGCGGGCAGTTGGCAGAACGATGTTCATGCGGCCTTGCTGGTGGCCCTTCTCCGGTTTGGCCTCGAATCTGTGGTGGGGCCTGTCTTCGGGGCCCAGGAATGCTAGCCTACCTGTCTTTCCGCTGTGGATTTTCTTACTGAAAGTCAAAACCCTTCGGTGTCACGGAAGAGAGATGAGGTCCCCATAGGCTGGCAGGGTCTCAAGCCAGAGGGAGGCAGGAGATGATGCCTCCACCAGGAAGGAAGTTCTTTCGGGAAGGTGCGCTCGTGGCCTGTATGCCTACGTGAGGGGTTGTTCCTTTGGGGTAGGGTCCCCCAGCCCGCTGGGAACCGGAGGGCTGCGGATACTCTTCCTGGAAAGTGCACACGAAAATTCACATGTCATTTCAGGTGCAGGTTCCTCCCATCCACATGGAGGCTGGTTAGGAGCTGGCTCTGCGGGGGCAGGAGCCAGGACTGGGGAGATCTGGGGACTGGCAGACGCCCTGCTAAGTGGCAGTTGGATGGCACCTACTGAGAGGACTGCAGGTCCCTGGGAGAAAAGGAATGTCTTATTTGGTCAAGTTTTATTATTTTATTTTTATTTATTTTTTGTTAATCTTCACCCGAGGATATTTTTTCCATTGATTTTTAGAGAGAGTGGAAAGGAGAGGGAGAGACAGAGAGAAACATTAATGTGAGAGAGACACATCAATTGGTTGCTTCCCGCATGTACCCCAATCAGGGTCGGGGAATCTGTAACCAAGGTATGTGGCCTTGACAGGAATTGAACCCGGGACCTTTCAGTCCGCGGTCTGATGTTCTATTTACTGAGCCAAACTGACTAGGGCTCATTTGGTCAAGTTTTAAATACTAAATGTAAGGGGGTGCTGACACCTGAACTTTGTGGCTGGGGTCAGCCTGGCCACCACGCAGCCTCGCTCCTGCTCGCCGGGCCAGCCCCTACCACTGCTAAGGAACATGCTTTGTCTTTCTCTTTCCAGAAACGGCCCCCACGTCTGCATACTCATCTCCTGCCCGGAGTCTCGGGGACACAGGGATCACACCTCTGTCCCCCTCCCATATCGTGGTAAGACATGTGTACATGTGTGTGGGAGTATGTGCTCATTATCTTGGCTTTGTGGGTCTGTTCGCATGAGGAGGCAGCTGAGCAGCCCGTCATATTCCTGGGTGGAGATTAAGTGGTCCTGGTACCAGCCATGTGAGCCCCCCCGAGTCCTTGTCCCACCCTGGGCCTTTGTGGCTGGTGCCGTTGGAGCCAGTGGCCTGGGTGGCAGCATGGGCAGGCAGGTGGGGGCAGCCCTGAGGGGACAGGACTCATCAGGGTCATGCATGGTTATGGCAGGACCCAGCTGGGCCCCTGGCATGTGGAACCCTGCTCCCAGGCCTGACTCACGGAGCAGGTGGAGTGGTCACCTGGGAGGTGCACGGACACAGCTGGGAAAGCCCTCGGGGCAGTGGCTGCGGGTCTGCACGGGGATTGGGGAGAACGGTGGGAGGAAGGCTGTCACTCAGAGCCACTGGGCTCTGGCCCTGGTGCTGGTGTCCGGAATAGCCACGCGCATGCACAGCTGATAAAGGGGAGTGGTGGCAAGCTGTGGGCTTGGCCCTTCACTTAGGGGCGCCTCCCTGGGCTGAGGCTGACCTGCCCTCTCCCCAGGGCTTGAGCCAGACAGCGACTGTCCTGGCAGTGGGTGTACAGCGGGGCAGGGTGGGACCACCCGGGGCATCTTCCTGAAAGCCAGGCGGACCCCTCCCCAATACCTTACTCGGTGCCTCTGCAGAACGATGCCGACCCGAGCGTCTCAGAGCAGCAGGCGTTTCTCGTGGTGGTGGCCATCGACTTTGGGACCACGTCTAGCGGCTACGCCTACAGCTTCACCAAGGAGCCGGAGTGCATTCACGTGATGAGGCGAGTGCTTGGGTGGGCAGGCGCAGGCGCTGGGTCTTGGACTCTGGCCCAGCTCGGCCCAAACTCACTGTGCCACTTGGGGCAGCCACTCTGGTCTCTGGGCTGCAGGGTCGTGGTCCGCGACAGTGTTGGTTTATTCTGACTAGTTGGTCTGGGAAGGGCATGGCTGGTGCGTTTGAAACCTGTCCCGGTGACTCCGGCGTGCAGCCTTGGGGGAGGGGTGCCCACTTACAGGTGTCTGTGGTGGGCACTTACTCTGGGAGCTTAGGCAATTGCTAAACCTTCTCACCCTCAGTTCCCTCATCTGTGAAATGGGGAGACTGACCATATCTGCCTCGCAGGGTGTGCGTGCAGACGAAGTGAGACTTCCTGTCAGTGTAAGCGGGGAGGTGCCAGCTCTTCCAGGTGCGGAAGTGTCACGGGTGACGTGACCAGCGCAGAAAGCACCACGCCTGAGAGGAAGCAGAGCGGGGATGGCAGCCAAACGAGGGGTCACCTGAAGTTGCCCTGGGCCTCCTGGGGCGTGCTCTCAGGCCACTCTCTGTGTCCACCCCGTGCTCACAGCGGCCGGCACACTCTGGTGCCCACTGTGTCCACATGTGACCGGCTGTCTATGAAGATTCTGGTCTGTCCAGCACCAAGGCCTGCTCCCCCGGTCTGGGCCTGGCCTTCCCGCAGTCTTCAGCCCCCAAAGCTTTGGGACCCAGGGATTGATCACCCCGATTTTCCAAATCCAATATGGCTCTGAAGATACATTGTGATTGGCCGTTCCCTTCGCTGGTAGTTGTGGAATTTAGTTATCGCTCCGGGGTAAGATTTTAGGCATTTTTTTAAAAAGTGCGGTTGACAAGACAAGTTGTAATAAAAGTAATCCCCGCCCGGCTTGGGTGAGGTCCCGCCTTTCCTCTGGAAAAGCAGCTGTGACTCAGCTAAGGGACCCGCACTAGGAGGCCCCGGAGACCCCTGGTGTCACCTCATCTCTAGGAGACCCCGAGGCAGCACGGCCTGGTGAGCCAGGATCCTGCCTCCGATTGGCCAGACAGGCGGAGGGTCTGCCTGCTCCGCCGTCTCCGAGACGGAAGCCCCGAGTGGAAAGAGCACGTGTTAAAAGCTGGAATCAGTGCTGGTCAGTGTCTCCCCAGTTGTCTTAAGAAATGCTATTTCCAGGAGGTGGTCATGCAATGAAAGTGGGGGAAAGAGCAGAAAGAACTGAACTTGCTGGGGAGGAACCTCCTAAAACACGGGCCGCGTCCAGGGCCTCAGAGATGTCATCTTAGTTGTAGGATTTGGAAGGAGGTTCCTCCTGAATTTTGCTTCAATCAGAACATAGGACATAACCGCGGGACAGACGGACGGAGCTGTGAATGAGAAGGTTAACTTACTGTATTTCAGTAGGAACGAAGGAATACAATGGAGGGGAACGTTCGGGCGGTCGTTTCTGACACGAGTGTCCTGTTGACAGTAATGGAAAGCCCTTTGTGAAAGGTGGTGTGTGGGTGCTCCCCTGCCCAGTGCCCAGTGCCCAGTGCCCAGTGTCAGCCCAGGATGGTGATCAGCCCTGTGTCTCGGGGGTCACCATGGGGACTTAGCTTCCTGGGTAGGGCCTGCTCCCCGCTGGAGCTTGACTGGGAAACCGCCAGGCCCGAGCCCAGACCCCTCTGGGCGGCAAATGCAGGTGGAGGCTGGCTCTCCATCTGGACGTGATGGCCCACCAGAGCTTAGCGATGCAGTCAGGGAGCAGGTGTGAGCTCGGCCAGGAGCGCAGCCACCTCCCCAGGTGGCCAGGGTGCGAGGTGCTTCCCCTCCTGTACGCTGTCTCCACGTTCGCCCGGACTCCCTGCTCCCTGCAGACTCCCTGTTCAGGCTCCTGGAGGAGGGCAGCTTCTCCTCCAGGCCCACGCTTATAACCTCGCCTTGGGGACGCCTTGGCTCCTGCTCACCACTGTATCCATTCAGCTCGGTGCTCCCTCTAGACCAGTGGTTCTCAACCTTCTGGCCCTTTAATACAGTTCCTCATGTTGTGACCCAACCATAAAATTATTTCCGTTGCTACTTCATAACTGTAATGTTGCTACTGTTATGAATCGTAATGCATATATCTGATATGCAGGATGGTCTTATGCAACCCCTGTGAAAGGGTCGTTCGACCGCCAAAGGGGTCGCGACCACAGGTTGAGAACCGCTGCTCTAGACCATCCATCCCCCCTTCCTCCCCGCTCTCTCTTCTGTGGCTTTCCACCTCTGCTCCCAGGTGAGGCCTGAGCTGCCTCCTCAGCCTTCCGGCTTCCAGCCTCCCTCCTTTCGTCTGGCTGGTTCGGTCAGCAGCAGCGCTGACCCTGACATGCCCTAACACCTTCCGTGGCTCCCATCACTCACTATGGAATCTCTCCTCAGTTCTCTTCGGCCTGGGTCCCACCTCCTTCCCAAAGTCGTTTCTGACGCTTCCCGTGGGTACAGTCACTCTTCCTACTTACCCTCCTGTTCCCCAGCCCACACACATGCCCACGCCGGCCACCTCTGAGCAGCCTGCGCGTCCTTTCCTCCTTCGAGGTCCAGCTGTCTGTCGCCCCTCCGAGTTTCTCCTGAGCCCACAGCCTCCCCCCTCCGCCCCCTCCAGCTGGCCCCTCTGCCTTCTCTGACCCTGGGGCCCTTCCCTGGGACTGCGGAAGAAGGTGCCACAACCTCTGCCTTTCCTTGGCGGCAGGCGGTGGGAAGGAGGTGACCCTGGGGTGTCCAACCAGAAGACCCCCACCACCATCTTGCTGACCCCCGAGAGGAAGTTCCACAGCTTCGGGTACGCTGCCAGGGACTTCTACCACGACCTGGACCCCAACGAGGCCAAGCAGTGGCTGTACCTGGAGAAGTTCAAGATGAAGCTGCACACGACTGGGGTAAGCGGGCCTCCCCCGGCCCCAGGTCCTCCGCATCGGAGAGCCGGGGTCCCTCCGGTCTTGCGGGTGTGGGGACCTTCCAGCCCAGGGACCCTGGGGTTCCTCCCAGGCAGACATTCACGTCCATTGACCTTGATTTTAGAAATGACCTGAGCACCCAGTGCGTTTGTGAAACACACAGCACTTTCTGATGGACACGTGGGCGGGGAGATGCTGAGACTATTTAACGGCTTGTTTGCCTGGGAAACTGACCAGAGTGGATGCTGGGAGGAGCGTAGGCCTAGGAGGCTGGGGACCCAATGATAGGAGGCCCCCTTCAGTTGCTGGATTACTGGGAGGTTAGGGGATCCTGAAGGAGGGACATGGGGTCGGGGCCTTTGGGGGGATGAGGGCAGTGTAGCCAGTCCAGAAATAACGAGTGGCCCCTTAACCCCCTGCGTGGGGGAGGGGCAAGCTCAGGAAATCAAGTGCCCAGCAGCTGGCGGCCTGGCTCCCGGGACAGGGCTGCTCCCGACACACTGTCCAGGTCACTGACGGCCTCCCCCTCAAGCTGCATGGAAAAGGCTGGGCCAGAGGAGAGAACTGTTTCCGTGTAAACACCTTATTCCGTAGAGATTCAGGATGGCGATGGTGTGTAAGGCCAGGACTCTAGGCCAGACAACCTGGGTTTAAGTCCTGCCTCGGCCCCTTCCAGATGTTTAATCCCAGTCCCTGGCCTCTCGGTGCCTTGCTTTACCTTATCCGTGCAATGGACACACTGACAGTGCCTTCGCCATGGGGGTTTTGTAAGGAGAAGAGGAATCAGAACACACAGAACTCTAGAGCCGTGTGGTACTTCTAAGTCCCAGTCAGTTGCTGGCTCCTCTGATTGCTTTCATTCGTCGCTGTTACGTGTTTGCAGATGACAGAACAGGTACTAACGGGAAACCCAGCCCCCAGCACCCTACTTCCCAGGGCTCAGTGCCCATGGGGTGATGGTCTCTCTACGAAGCAGACAGGCTCCTGCTAGAAACGCAGCCCCTTTTCAGCTGAGGGGATTCAGTGCTTGCGCTTCAGCTTGCGCAGGTGGACACACAGGAATTTTTAAAATTCTGAGCCTGTGGCTTCCAGGTGCTCAGCCACGTTTCTGAGACGGGGAGCTGCTGCCCAAAAGCTGGGGTGTCTTTCTGAGCATCCGGGGAGGGAAGTGGCTGGCGGGGAGGAGGGGCTTGTGCAGATGGGTCCAGATGACTGACAGGCTTCACGAGGCTGGTTTAGCGGCTCGATGCCCCCTCACACTCCAGAGGCAACGCCTAATTGCCCAGCGGGATCGATCCGGAGGCCCCGCTGACTCCCCAGCAGTAATGAGCCTGGTGGTTCCGGCTGCTCAGGGGCTCTCTCTGCCCACCCCCCACTCTGGGGGACGTTTCTCCTCATTGTTGAATGACCCCAGTCCATACAGCATCCGCAGAGCATCCTCCGCCCGAGGACTGCACTCACACCTGCTCCGTTCCTGGCGGGGAAGCGAGGCGCGATGCTGGGCTCCCAGTGGATCAGGCTGCAGAGCCTTAAAATAGGAGCTCTTCTATTTTGGGGACTGGTTGGCAGCTCACTGGAGAACGTACGCTTCATGTCTGTTCAGCATCAGGCATGTCAGTGAGTTGGCATGATTATGTAGGCCTCCGTGCGGGCTCTGAGGGTGACCATGTGTGTCCCAAGTGCAAATAACATGTAAATTGCACCAGCGGTGCCTGCTGCCTTTCTCTCTTCCTGGGCTGTGGCTGCCCTGAAACCTCGCTCCCAGCAGATCCGGGAGGGAGGGAGGGAGGGAGGGAGGGAGGAGGGAGAAGCGGAGGTGGCGCTGAGGGGAGCAGCCAGGGCCTCCTGCACAGTGCAAGGACATTGCTCCAGGCCTGTTTTGGGGAACTCGCATCCTGGGCTGCCTCTCACACATTGGGAAACACAAATATGGCCACCAGCCGTGTCCCCCCCGCCCCCCGACCCCCGCAGCTGCAGGCAGCTGTCCAGAAGCTGGAAGGCCATCTCTCCTTGTCTTCTTACTGTCTCCTTCCTCTCCCTGCCAGGACCTCACCTTGGATACAGACCTGACAGCAGCCAATGGCAAGAAGATCAAAGCCCTAGAAATCTTTGCTTACGCCCTGCAGTACTTTAAGGAGCAGGCGCTGAAGGTAGGACACGTGGAGGTGCCTGTGGTGGGGGTGGGGGTGGATGCACCCGCCACCGAGGTTGTGCCTGGAGGGAGAGAGCAGGATGCGCCCTCCTAACTGCAGGGGGGACTGGAAAATGGCACAGCCACTGGGAAAATGGTGTGGCCCCTTGAACCAGGAGGTCGAGGTTCGATTCCCGGTCTGGCACATGCCTGGTTTTCGGGCTTGATCCCCCGTAGGAGACATCATTGATGTTTCTGTCTCTCCCTTTCCCTTCTTCCCTCTGAAATCAATAAACATATATTTTTAAAAAAGAAATTCCATGAAGAAATCTGCTCAAGGAGATTTACAGGAGCGAGGCCTTCACAAGGGGCAGCCTGGCATTTGAGGGGCGGGTGGACGTGCATGGTGGTCTCATTCATGAAGGAAGCGAGCGCAAGTGTGGGACAAGGGAGACGTTCGGTTAATGTCAGGATCCTTCCCCTCCCAGCTGTCCTCCAGAGGCTGGTGGAGGCGGATCTAAGCAACTTCCCCTGCAGCCAGGGAAGCCATCATTCAGGTCTGACTCTTCCTGCTCAGAGTCTAAAATGGTCTGGGTGGCGGTAGGTGTGCTCAGAATCCTTCCCAACACTCACACGCTCACCTGCTTTAACGCCCAGGGCAGACCCGCAAGGAAATAACACATGATTTAAAAACAACAACAGAAAAACGGAAACAAAACCCCCAAATCGGCTATTTCATGGTGGCCCAAAGCGGGGAAAAAGAAAAAGTTTGCTGAATACACTTAACACTGCCGAACTGTACACTTAAAAATAATACATTTTGTCATATGTATTTTGTCACAGTTAAAAATGAAAAACAAGAAGCTTACAGATCATAGAGGAAGTTAGTTCAGTGAGAGGGTGGGTCAGTCCCCAGATAACCGTTTGAAACAATAGGGAAAGTGTGATACCCACCAGGAAAAACAAAAGTCACCAGCCGGTTCCTCTGAGCCGTGTCCACGACGCTGACTCTGGTGCAGAAGTGCCCTGGTGTGCGTTTCGCTTTGATTTCAGGTCTGTCTGGTGACCGTGGCTACAGGAGGGGAGGGGAAGGAAGGAAGCAGCATTTATCAGAGGTCTTTTCTGTGCCAGACGTCCCACGTGTGTTCTCATTTAATTTTGCTGCTTATGCTGGGGGTTAGTTTTATTCTCCCCATTTTACAGATGGAAATACTGAGTCGGCACTATGCTAGAGACATACTTTTGTCTACGCGGGCCCAGTGGAAACCTCTGAGGCTTCTGCCCATCCCTTTTACCCACATGGTGTAACCTTGACCCAGAGCTAAGGACAGCATGGTTCTCGCTTAGGCCATTTACATCCTTCCTGTCCCACCAGGAAAATCCCCTCAGGTGCTGGGCTGGAGGGGAGGAAGATGACAGTGACGACTCTGACAGTTGCCACCAGACACTGTTCTAGATACGAGACCACGTGTCGCAATTTAGTGAAGACATTGGCCTTTAGAGTCAAGATAGACCTGGGGCTGAGTTCAGATTTTGGCTCTGCCCCCTTCTAGCCGTGTAATCATCAGAAAGACAGCATATCGAGCCTGAGTTTGCCACCTGCAGGAAAGGGGCACAGTTATAATCTCTCCCTAACAGCATTCTTGGAGGCATTACTGCAGATGAGGTATAACAGTGTTGATGCAGGGTAAACTCTCAGTAAATGTAGCCACGTCTGCCTGACCTGCCGCCCTTTCCTTGGCTGTAGGAGCTGAGCGACCAGGCGGGTTCGGAGTTCGAGAACTCTGATGTCAGATGGGTGATCACGGTGCCTGCCATCTGGAAGCAGCCCGCCAAGCAGTTCATGAGGCAAGCTGCCTACCAGGTGAGCGCGGGGGCGGGAGCGGATGGGGCCCAGGTGCCCACGGTGGTGACCATCACCCCCTCGGGTGTCCAGCGTGCATAGGCCTCCTTGGGAGGCAGCCGGGTCTCCCGCAGGCAGGGGGACTAGGAGCCTTCCCGTTCCTCAGCTGCCTCCCGGGGGAGGAACGGGCTCAGACTGGCAGGGGAGGGGCGTTGTGCATTTCCAGGTCCTGTTGCCACGGTGGGGTCCCTGGGCTAAGATTTCAAACTGGGGCTCGGAGGCACGTCACTTACTTGAGCCTTTCAAGTACAAGGCTTGGAAAGCAAGGAGATTTGGATGAGAAAGGAGTAAAGACAAGGCCCATGGTATGAACTGGGCACCCTCTTGGTGCCGGGGCAGAAAGCTGTGCAGGTGCAGCCAGGACCTACAGGTCTATTTCCCTCTGCCCGCCTCACCTGCGAACTCACAGGAGCACGCATGGTCGCCCCAGAGGGGTGAGGGCTGTCGCACCTGCCCAGTGGCAGTCACCTGGATGAGGGCAGGGCATGGCTAAGGAGCATGCCAGTCAACACAGCGCCATGGAGATGGCATTCCAGGGCCGATGGCCAGCCCATCCCTCAGGGGTGCCTGGCCCCCTCCCCACGCCGCCCCCCCTTCCGCTGGTGCCTCAAACTCTCCCAGCCTCCAGCCCTCACGCGGTTGCAGACAACTGTGCCAGGACAGAGCTTCCATGAGAGCCTGACGTCCTGGCAAGAAAGGCTGGTCCTGCCGATCTGTGTCCTAATCCGAGGGCACAGCTGGCTCCTGCGTGTTTACTGCCTCCCCTGGGCCATGAAAGCCACCCTGGGGCTCGGCCAACTCTGTGCCCTGGACGTCAGTCTCCACAGGCATCCGCCCGAGTCGGGCGGGGAATGCCGCCCGGGATATAGGTGTCCTTGCCCTCCGCCAGGGGACTTACCTCCGATGCTGAGTTTGTGGCCACAGGGACGAACCTTTCCTGTTAGACACCCACCGCATCCGCCCTGAGCGCAGCAGGGTAGTAAAGTGGGCACCCCCCCTCTCCCGCCCCACATCATGGACTGTACTTCACACTCGGGGCTTTACTCCAGGCGGCAGGTAGAGTCAGGCCAGTGCCCCCCCCCCCCCCCCCCCCCGTCCCGCCCCAGACTGTCTCTCTCCTTCCTCTGCTCAGCGTGAGAATCTGGCCCAGCCTATGTATCTGCCAAAAATAGACTTGTTTTCATAGGGATGAAGGAAGAGGGTGGAAGTTCCAAAAAGAGGCAATCCTTTAAAAGAGAGAGGCCCAGGCACACCTCAGCTGCCACAGAAGCCCGGGCAGCATGGGCTGTTCCGTGGACGTGGACGTGGCCTTGGGGCCGTGTCCAAAGACAGGCCCCCGGGAACCGCTGTCTAAGGCGACACGGCCCTGTGTCTGGTCTGAGTGTTCCCAGGATGGACACTCAAGCTTCATGGTTTTGACCCTCATTTCCAGCCCACAGGACGCCTCCAGCAACAAACGTGTGACCCAGAAAAGGGTCAGCTCTTATTTTTAGCCTGAAAACGAAAGAGGCGCAGTGACCGGCAGATGTGTCAGGGCTGTTAGAGCTGGTTCGGGGGCGGGGGAGGTGGGGGCCTCCTCCAAGGACAGCATCTCTGAAAGCATGGGGTGGGGGCTGGAGGCAGCGAGGGGGAGGGGCGAGGGGAGAGGCCCTGGGGCAGCTGAGGAGGAAGGAAATGGGGGGTGGGATGGGGGGTGGCATCCCTTGGGGTTTGGCACAATCAACATGGCACCTCAGAGAGTAGAAGGCCACCCGTCCTGAGCAGATGCGACCGGCATCCTTGGACGCAGGGAATTCGCTCTCTGAAGCCGGAGACCCTCTGCAAACAGGCCCATCTCAGTACCGGGGAGCTTGTTTGGTGCCATGATTGCGCAGTGTTTTTTTAAATCCTCACCAAAGGATATGTTTTGCTTTGTTTTTTAAATTGACTTTTTAGAGGAGAGGAAGGAAGAGAGAGAGAGAAAAAACAACAGCAACACACCGATGTGAGAAACTTTGATCAGTTGCCTCCCATACACGACCCAACAGGGGATTAAACCCACAACCTAGGCATGTGCCCTGCCTGGAAATGGAGCCTGCAACCTTTTGGTGTTTGGGGCGAGGCTGTAACCAACCGAGCCACCTGGCCAGGGCCGTGCAGCTTAAGTTTTGACCCTTTGAAATTCTGATTTGATACTTGTGTCCAGTTTACAGTCACTGAGTGGATTTGAAGATGGCAGGGGCCGTTCAGTCCCTGCTCCCTCAGTCACTGACTCATCAGACAAACCTGTGCCGGGAGTGATCTGTGTGCCAGGGCTGGGCGAGGCCCTGGATTCATACCTGTGCCCTGTGCGCCGGAGCCTGGCCCTGCTCTCAGGTAGCTTGCGGCCCAGTGGTGCACGGAAGCCTCACACTTCTGGGGGGCAGAGGGTGTGCAGGGGCGCAGCTGCCTTGCTGACTTCTCTGCGGTCTCTCCAGCCTGAGTCCCAGTGACAAAGTGGAAATGAAGCTTGCTAACCTGTGGCCAAAATGAGCATCTCTCCAACTCTCCCTCCTCACTGCCCCCCATTTAGGCTATGGAATAAGAAAGATGTGTACCGTGATGGTTAATTTTCTGTGTAAACTTGACTGAGCCAAGGGGTATGCAGATATTTGTTCAAAAGTCATCCTGAGCGTTGCTGTGAGGGTATTTTGGGGCGAGATTAACCTGTAAATCAGTAGCCCGAATAAAGCAAATTGCCCTCCCTAAGGGGGGTGGGCCTCACCCAATCAGTGGAAGGCATGAGCAGAACCTACCTAGAACAAGAGGGAATTCCTCCCGCCTGCGGCCTTCAAACGGGGACATTGGGTTTGGGGTTTTGGGGTGTTCTGGGTGTTTTTTTTTGCCTTTGGACTTGAACTGAAACATCTCTTCCTGGGTGTTGAACCTGCCAGCTAGGGAACTAGACCTTGATGGGCTCTCCTGGTCCTCCAGCTTGCTGCCTGCAGACCTCAGGACTTGTCACTCTCCATAATCATGTGAGCCACTCATTGTCATAAACCTCTTTCTACACATCCATACATTGGATTCCCTGGAGAACGCCAATACAGAAGCTGAGCAAAAGCACTTCTTGGCCCAGCCAGCTTCTGAGATGCAAGAGTGCCCATCAGCCCTTCCTCCCGAAGTGCTGCCCCTTAGCCCATCACCCTGCTTGCAGGTGAAATCGGAGCCCCTCCTCCCAGGCCTGCTCTGAAGAGGCCTGGCTGCAGAGCAGGGGACGAGGCCCAGGGCAGCATCTCCCAGTTTATTTCATCAGTGAACCTCCGACATATCTGCTAGTGTCAAGTGCTCGTTGAAAAAGTAGGTTAACCTCTGTCTTTTATGAAGGCCGGGGCACCGTTAGACCCTTGAAGAGCACTCAGTGAAGGAGGGTGCTGCCCTGGCTGGGTGCTCAGCTGGGCGGGTGTCATCCCATACACCAAACGTTGTGGGTTTGACTCCTGGTCAGGGCACATACCTACGTTGTGAGTTCGATCTCTAGTTGGGGAATGTTTGGGAGGCAGCTTGATTGATGTTTCTCATATTGCTGTTTCTCTTTCTCTCTCCCTTTCTCTTTCTCTAAAATCAATAAAAAAAATATGTCTTCAGGGGAGGATTAAAAATTTTTTAAAAAAGAACAGCTGGTCTCTCCTCTGAGACCCAAGAGACCTAGAATGGGAGGTAGTTCCACTGTGTCCTGAGAGTTGCACGGACAGGAAACAGTTTCTCTCTAGAGGCATTTTGCCTAAAATGTGTCACTCTAGGAGGTTCCAGAGCCTGTTAAATAAATGTTTCCCTACAGATGATTTCATCATCTAGCACAGAGTTGCAGCTTACATTTGCCTCCCTTTCTGAACAAATGGCAGTGACAAATAGCCACATCAGGAAAAACACACAAAAAGAACCACCCCATGACGCCCAGGACGGTGCAGCTGGGCCCGTGCAACTTGACGCCCGGCCAGCGGTGCGCTCGCTGGCTGTCTGGCCATTTTTCTCAGCTGTAAACACACAGTCCCCGGCGGATTTTTCCAGCTGACGGCAGGGCCGGGGCGGGGGAGCCCTGGAGTCAGCGTGGACGCCCACACCCTGGCCTCCCTGGAGTCACCACCTGCTGCTCCTCCCCCTGGGAGCAGGGGACCATGAAGCAGCACTCCAAGGAGCCGCTTTGATGGTGCTCCTGCCGCCCCAGATTCGTGGAGGAGACAAACGGGGCCGCGTGCTCTTCGTTGAGACAGTCTGTTTGTAGAGTCCTTGGTCACGCAGGCAGAATGCTTGTCTCATTCGGGCTTGCGGAGATGAGCGCCAGGAAACTGCAGAACTTGATTCTGACCGGAGGGATGCGCGACTCATTCATGTAGCAGCTACCCTCTGAGCCCTTCTGTGTGCGGTGGGGCAAGGAGACTTAGCTGCCGCCCTTGGAGGACATACCCTCTTGCAGGAGAGGCCGGACATGCACAGCGGCCATGAGATCCCAGCTCTGGAGGCAGGATTAGCAAAGGCAGAGCGAGCGCTCTTCTGCTTCGGGTGACCCTGGCCTGGTCCCAGGCAAATAGACCCCCAGGTCTCCGGACAGCACTGGGCTGGAGGGCCTCTGCTGAGAAGACTGCACATGTTTATGCAGAAACAAAGCTCACACTTCGGGCACCAGAGCCTCTGGCCCAGAGAGAAAGACGGCTGGGCTTTGAGCCTGGCGGATCCCCTGTTTCCTCTTTTTCCTGGAGTCCACGGCAGCCCTGGGACACCTCCCCTCCTGGGAGGTGGAATCACCGGCTGCTTCCTCTTGCCTGTCCCTCAGCTTTCCACTGGCCACCGTGGGAGCAGCTGTTGGGGGTGCAGCCCCTCATTGCCACTGGGAGTGCGAGGTGGAGCATGGCGGCTGGTTGGAACGAAGGAGTGTGTCACTCTGTCCTGGTCTCTCCGGCACCGCCTGGCCTTCTCTCATCTGGGGTTTTCCCGCTGCTGGGAGGCCTTCGGGATTGGCAAAGTGGAGATGCCCAGGCACCTGCCGCTGATGGTATCTCAAGAGGACAGAATTGGTTGGTTTGGGGTACGGTATAGGCAGTGTGTCATCGGGTACTGTCCTGGGGTAAATGGGTAGAGGCTGTACCTTTAAGCCAGTTGAGGGGAGCATTAGAGGCATCAGGGAGTTTGGTTCAAGTCCTCCCGAAGGCCTGGGCCCCACCCCAGCAGCTGGAGTCACTCAGACCAGAAGAGCAGAGAACCCAGGAAAGAGCTGGTCTGCAAGGCGCGAGATCTGGGCCGGGGCGCTCGGCCGCTTACGGGTCGGGCACCTTGGAGCTGAAGAGACTGAGGCCCGCCTCCCAGGAACCCGGGACAGGCCACCCTGCTTCTCCGAGCCCTGGTTTCTTCTCGTACAGAGTGAAGGAGTGGGACGGCATCCTGAGGTCCTTTCCATTCTTCCCTTATAACCCGGCCTCCCAACCCGCCCAGTTATTGCACCTGCTAACCCCCTGCCGCCGGCGACTGTGAGCGGCTCCTCCTGGTGAGAGGCCATGGTGCCGGTGTGACGCCAGGCAGACCCCCCCCCCCCCCCACCCCGCCTCCAGGATGAGGCCTTATGAGCTGGGTGTGGAACTGGGGCCTTTCACCAAGTGGGTGCGGCATCTGAGGTTCCCTAGGAAACGGGACCAAAGACAACAAACATAGAAGGCAGGAAACCCCCAGGCCTGAACAGCTTCAACGGACAAGCGAGACCTGGTGCTCAAGGTCAAGGTCACGGGAGGCGGGCCGGGACCTGTTAGGGGACACGCCAGGCCCTTTTCCCTGCTCCCCTCAGAAGGGCGGTCCCAGAGCCTCCCGGAGGCACCTGCCTGGAACAAGCCAGGTGTCACAGAGCAGAGCATTTCTGCTGTGAAAGGGATAGTGGCTTTGAATGAGGGCGCGGCACCTGCCTCCCCACCCACCCTCCAGAAGGGGGCGCTGTGCGGGATTCCAGGAGGGGCTTTCTCCCGGAGCCCTGGAGCCCTCCTGTCCGACTCCCATCCAGCAAAATCCCATGTTGCCTAGCGAGGTCCGGCGATGGGCCATGTTTCCTGGGCCACCAGAGATCGGGGCTTGCTCTGATTCGATCAGACTGTTTGGCCTGTTACAGCCCAAACCAGACCACGTGCTGTCCCCCCTGTAACAGTTTCCAAAGTTCTGGGGACTTCCCCCCATGCGTCTCAGTTCTGGGCTAGTTAAGCTCCAGATGCAAGAGGCTCCAGGGCCCAGCGGGTCTGGCGTTTCCCAGGGATGCTGGTACATTTCCTTAGGCCACTGTGGTGTTCGGGGACCCCGCTCAGGGCCCAGCACCTGATCACCCCCAATCTTAAGCTCTGCAGAGGCCTATGGGGGGAATTCCTCAAACCAGCAGGGCCCGGGGGTCCCTTCCTGGGGGTGTCAGCCCCAGGTGGGGGTGTCCTGGGAGCAGCCCCCCAGGGAGCCCCGGTCCCAGCCTCTGCTTCTGTCCTCCAGGCGGGCCTGGCCTCCCCCGAGAACGCGGAGCAGCTCATCATCGCCCTGGAGCCCGAGGCCGCCTCCATCTACTGCCGGAAGCTGCGGCTGCACCAGATGATGGAGCTGAGCAGCAAGGCCGCGGTCAATGGGTACAGCTCCAGAGACACAGTAGGAGCTGGGTTTGCACAGGGTACCTCTGCTCTCTCTCTCCCCCCCTGCTCTCCCCTCCCGCCTGCATGTCTCTGGGCCGCTACTGTGTACATGCACTCGGTGCTGTAATGAAGAATCAAGATGCCGCCAGAGAGGCTGGTGTTAAGCACCCTGTGCTCAGCCCCCTCCCGCCCCCTGGCCCCTCCCAGGGGCCTCGGCACACCTGGCAGTGGGTACCCAGGTTCATCACCCACCCACGTGCCTTCGGAGGGGGGAGGGCGCTGCTCTCCAGAAACTCGAGGGGGCCCTGAGAGCAGTCCTGGCCTTGCATTTTACTAAGCTCTTAATCTTTCTGGCCTGTTAACTGATTCTCAATCTAATCCCATTTGCCTGTTATTAATTCTTCCATTAAGACTGTTGACTTACTGCTGACTCACTCATTGGAGCTGCTTCGTGTGTGATGAGCTCATTATGTGTCTTGGCCATAAACCTGGCGAGAGTTTAAACTGCAGACGGAAAGGACTGACGCTTCCTGACCCGCGGATGTCCACTTGGCTGTGGAAGAGTCACCCGCCCAGGGACACTCGGGAGCTTCGGGGGGACCCTAAGGAGCCTTTTCTCTTTCGTGTTTTCCTGGTGCAAGTCGGCCCCTCTCTTGGTCCCCAGAACTGTTTTCCTGGGTGTCCGTCCAGCGCTCTGTGGGTCTGATCAGGGCCACAGCGTTCACAGACACCTTAGGTCAGGGTCAAAGCCACCTCTGTGAGTGAGTTTGGAAGCTAATCAGCGTGCTGGGGCGCACAGCTCTGAGCTCTGTCCCCGGGGGAGGGCCCTGAGGGCACAAACCCGCCCATCACCCCCCTCGAAGGCCAGGCCCAGGAGGAGAGGGGTGGCGTTAGCCAGGGCTGCCGCAGGCTGCTCCCCTAGAGCCCTCGTCCCAAGTTTTCCGTGGTCCCCACCCCGAGGCCCAGCGAGGCCATCTCCATGGTCTGCTCCCATTCCTCTTCGCGGGGCAGCTGCGCCAGGGCCCACGCCCTGCACTTTCACCCAGGACCGGGGAATCTGTGAGCCTCAGCACAAAGTTCACTTGTCCCCGAGCTGCTGCCCCTGCCCGCCAGGCCCCGATGTGGGCACCTTGGATCTGAGTCACCCAGAATGTGGGGAGCAGGCTGCCCTTTAAATCCAGGGCTTGACCTGCCCTTGTGTAGCGGTGCTGGGCCCCAGCACAGGCCGAGGGCAGCCTTGCTGCGGACCAGGTCAGCTGCCTGTTTAAAACACACGGAATGACAAGCTTATGTAAATCTCCACCTTCATTGTTTTCATGGAAAAGACCAGGAGGGACTGGGCTTCTCCTCTCACTTGCTGGTTCTCCCTTAGTTGTTCATAAAAAGAAATCCAGGAGAATTAGCTAATTCTAGCGCCACCGCTCTTCCCACCATTTCCCCTAACCTGAGGGGAAAGCTGTTTGGAATGCTTTTCCTGGGAGCTCAGCCTGGCTTCCTTTCCTCGCAAGCGTCCCATCTCCCCCCTGGCCCGTCCCGTGTCCTGTGCCTGTGGACTTGGCTGTGGTCCCATATGCTCAGAGGGTCTGTAGGGTTTTTAAATCCCCAAGTGGTTGGCCAGCGCCCCTCTGAGGGGCAGGAGGCAGGGCTCTGTCTCAGCCTCGGGCTGCAGTTGGGACCTCTCTCCCAGGAGGCCTGGCAGGAATACCCGGAGGGAGGGTGGGGTACCCGAGACACCTCCCCCGGCCGCCCCTGCTGGGGGCTCCTTCAGGTGGAGCCGGAGGACCCCGTGGGGGAGAACGGAGCCAGCACTCTGCCCCCCGGCACTGCAGGGTTTGCTGTGGGTATTTTATTTTACACCAGGAGGATTTAATGAGCGCCGTAAAGGGCACATTTTTCACAAAATGGGCTTAATTTGCCTGAAAAATAGGATACATTTTTTGAGAGCTCAGAACATGTCTCATTAGCTTTGCTTGGCTGTTTTTTATGAATGCCATTTCATTAGTCATCCAGGTTGTTTTAGGAAACCAAATGCCCACCAAAGATCTGCAATAGAAATTCATCTGGAGCCGGTGCTGGGAACAGGAGAGAGGCCTGCGTGTGGGGTCCCTCCTAGGCCTACAGGAACTCCTTTTATTTATTAAATATTTTTTATTGCCCTGCCGGTTTGGCTCAGTGGATAGAGTGTCGGCCCCAGGACTGAAGGGTCTCCGGTTTGATTTCAGTCAAGGGCTTTTACCTCCATTGCAGGTTCGATCCCTGGCCCTGGTCGGGGCCATGCAGGAGGCAGCCAGCCAATGTGTCTCTCTCACATTGATGTTTCTCTTTCTCTCTGTCTCTCCTGCTTCCTTCCACTTTCTCTGAAAATCAATGGAAAAATATCCTTGGGTGAGAATTAACAAAAAAAGATTTTTTAAATTGCTTTTTAGCAGCGGTTCTCAACCTGTGGGTCGTGACCCCTTTGGGGGTCGAACGACCCTTTCACAGGGGTCACCTAAGACCATCGGAAAACACATATATAATTACATATTGTTTTTGTGATGAATCACTATGCTTTAATTATGTTCAATTTGTACCAATGAAATTGGGGGTCACCACTACATGAGGAACTGTATTAAAGGGTCGCGGCATTAGGAAGGTTGAGAACCACTGCTTTTTAGAGAGATAGGAAGGGAGAGAACCACTGATGTGAGTGTGAAACATCCATTGGCTGCCTCCTGCATGCCCCCTAGTGGGGATTGAGCTCTCAGCCTGGGCATGTGCCCTAACCAGGAATTGGACCAGGAATCGAACCAGCAACTTTTCTGTGCACCTGACGACGCCCAACCACTGCGCCACACCAGCCTGCAGGGACTCTTACACCGGGACAGCCTCTCCACCATAAGGCAGGGCCCGAGGAACTCGGAGCTGGCCCAGTGCTTGCCATCCCAACCCCCATAGATGTTGTTTTGCAAACACTGCTCCTTGCTGAGAGGCTAGAGGGCCAAGGGTCCTCTGTTGGATAAATAGCTGCAGACAGATACAAAGTCTGCAACACCCGCCCAGGGACTAAAGAATTCACAGCAGCAGAGCTGTGGGCAGAGCCTTGATCTGTAAAATAGGTGGTCGCTCTCCGTGGCTTGTGGTAGTGATGGTTTGGTGGGCACCGGGTCTCAGACTTGGTGCTCACCTTCATTGTCACCTACTGTGAGCAGGTGTCACACTGGCTGCTTAGGACAAATCAGAGAGCCAGTCCCTGCTCTGCCTGTGAGGAACTTAGGCCACGTATTATTATACCCATTTTATGGATGGGGAAACTGAGGCCCGGGGTGGGGGGTTGAGTTGCTCAAATTCCCACCGTGGCTGTGCCCGGCTGCCTCCCAGGTACCCTCTCACAGCACCTTTCCTGGTTCTTCACATTTGTAGTCTGCTTTTTCAGACTTCACTGTAAACTTAAATCTCAGAGGCATGAGGGTCCCTGGATGGAGCGTTAATTTGGGGCTGCAAGGCAGTGTGGGAACTGGTCTCCTAACCTCCCTGACCTGGTTTCCTCACCTTAACGTAGGGCCGTGATTTATGCCCTGTCCACCTCACAGCGCTGTGGGGAGGCCAGTGGGAGGCCAAATCCCCACGCATGGTGTCACCGCCAGGTTGTCCTGCAGGGCTAGGAAACTGGTGCCTGGCTTTGCCAGTTTCAGATGCGCCACCTTGTGGTCGATGCGCCACCTTGTGGTCAAAGAGGGTATTGGCTTCAACAAGGTCAGGAAATGGCTCCTATACAATTGATCCAGGATCCAGACTCGCGTCCAGTTTATCCAGGATCCTGATCAGCACCCCACTCTCCGTGTATCAGGATTCCTTGGTGTGAAATTGTTTAACCAAGTGCACTGACGGCTGCTTGGCAGACAGCTGCCTCCCGGGCACAGCAAAGCCAGGAAATTGGTCCGTTTTATTCACCCATCCCCCCGAAAGTCACTGGAGGATGGGCTCATCCTGGTGAGCTTTCCAGCAGCGCTCAGGCTGAGTCTGCCACACCGATGGGGCGGGGAAGGCCGGGGCGATAGCTGCTCGTCCTGGGAGAACTATTTTGGAATTCCCCGGATGGCATTCCTGTAATTGTTTGGTCACGGTTCACTGAGTGTTGTGTCCCTAACCTGCTCACGCTGCTGCCTCCACTGACTGCAGATGACGGCCGCTCTGTCGTGCTTTCTCACCCGCCATCATTTTCTTTCTGTCGGCCACTAGCTAAGGAGCACGTACGGCGCAATCGGCAGAGCCGGACCTTTTTGGTGGAGAATGTCATAGGCGAGATCTGGTCCGAGCTGGAGGAAGGTAGCGTCCTTGAATGTCCTTTGCCTTTGCTGGATTGTGTGTGTGTGTGTGTGTGTGTGTGTGTGTGTGTGTGTGTTGCTGCTGGCAAAACTGCATTCCTACTTGTCCCTTTTGCACTTTTGGAGAATGTTCAAAATCACTCGGTTTTAAAGACTACTCCCCCAGGGAGAGCTCTTTGTGGAGCTGTGATTTTGCATGTGGTTAAGCCATGTAGACTCTTCAGAGGAGAGGTAGGGACTGGGACTCACTGGTTCCAGGACAAGTCTTCAGTTAAACAGCCGGCCACTTGCTGGCGCTATTCACTGGGCAGGAAGCTGTCCGCTGGGTCGTGCCAGACACGCAGCAGCGTGTGGCATGGATGCTGTAGTTTTAGAGATCCACGCGTCTGGGCTCTGGATCGTCCATGCTAACCGTCGCTCCTAGCAGACATCATTGCCTTCTCTTTAGTCACGAATAACCCGCTGCACAACTACTTAGCAAACCCATTGCACTAATGAGAAGGGCGGGGTACCCCGTCATCACCCGCCAGCCCGTTTCAGGACGGGTTGGCAAGCAGTCTATGTGAAGGGTGGCTGGTGTTTTCCTTTGCCAGGTGACAAGTATGTGGTTGTGGACAGTGGCGGTGGCACCGTAGACCTGACCGTCCATCAGATACGGTTACCAGAGGGACACCTTAAGGAACTGTATAAAGCCACAGGTGAGCGCTGCACGGCGATGTTCTCCTACCTGAGCCCGGCCACTCCTTTCCGACTTCTCTCAGCCTGTCATTGTCTCAGTGCCGCCAGCACGTGGAACAGTCGGCAGGAGAAGGCACTGAGGCTTTTTTTTAAAAGATAAGTTTTCATAATTTCTTTCTTTAAAAAAATATATTTTTGATTTTAGAGAGAAAGGAGAGGGGGAGAGAGATAGAAACATTAACGATGAGAGAGAATCATTGATGGGCTGCCTCCTGCACGCCCCACACTGGGGATCAAGCCTGCAACCTGGGCATGTGCCCTGACCGGGAATCGAACCGTAACCTCCTAGTTCAGAGGTCGATGCTCAGCCACTGAGTCACGCCAGCCAGGCGGCTCCGTGGCTTATTGAACATTGGAAAGCAAAGCACAGTTCCATGTCCTTTAAAACACAGACCTCCATCCCTGGGGGAGGAGCCCGTCTCAGATCCTGGCTGAGAAAGTGGCTCCTGGAAGTTATGAAAGGATGTGACAGAAGCCCGAAGACACGTGTGGCTCGGGGCTATGGCTAAGCCTTCTGGGAGGGCCCAGGACCCCTGGTCGGGGAGGTGGTGATGAGGAGTGAGTAGACCCAGGGGCTAAGCGAGGCCTGCCTGCTCCTGATCCTGTCCTGGGTGTCTACGGGGGAGGAGGAAACTGCGATACTCCCAGTGCCTTAAATGTATTGCTTTTATTTAAAGTGTAACTGACTGTAAACAGGTTATTGCCGAGTGGTGTCTAGAGGAAAGCTCTCCATGAGGAGTGAGAAGAACCCCAGTGAGGTCCCAGCTGTGCTCCATTGTGTATTTGGGAGAAGAGCGGGGTGGCCTCAGAGTCGGGGCCCCGTTCTCCGCGTTTCTCACACGGCGACTCCGTTTCGTTCTTGGCGCAGGGGGACCCTATGGATCCTTAGGAGTCGATTACGAATTTGAAAAGCTCCTGTGTAAGATATTCGGAGAGGACTTCATCGAGCAATTCAAAATCAAGCGTCCCGCCGCCTGGGTGGACTTGATGATTGCGTTCGAGTCTCGCAAAAGGGCGGCCGCCCCGGACCGCACCAACCCGCTGAACATCACCCTGCCCTTCTCCTTCATCGATTACTACAAGAAGTTCCGCGGCCACAGCGTGGAGCACGCCTTGCGGAAGAGCAAGTGAGTCGGACCTGCCTTTGGCCCGGGAAACTCGGCCATGGAGCCGAGAGAAGCTCCTCTTGGCTTGGCTGCCCTCGTAGCACCCTCCAAATGATTGTTCCCCTTTGCGGGGCGCCGGGGGAGTGCCATTAGAACGCATGGACTTAGCACGTCTGATGCATGTGTAACGATGGCGGTTACATCCTCAGTGACGCTCCAATGTCCCATCTTGGCCGGTGGGAGCCCCTTCAGGTTGGCTCCTGAGTCCCACTGCCTCGGCCTTTGCGGTTTATTTCCTTCTCCTTTTTTATGTTTTTATTGATTTCAGAGAAGAAGGGAAAGGGAGAGAGAGATAGAAACAACATTGATGAGAGAGAATCATTGACCGGTTGCCTCCTGCACGCTCCACGCTGGGGATCGAGCCTGCAACCTGGTCATGTGCCCTGAGCAGCGAACCGTGACCTCATAGGTCGACGCTCAACCACGGAGCCGCGCTGGCCAGGCCCTTTGTGGTCTCTAACGGTCTCCGCCTGTGCCAGTGAGGTGCCCCTGACTCACCCTGTACGTTCCCCACCACACCTGCGATCGGGTGCTTCTCTAAGACGCCCTGGCTCCTTTCAGGGGAAACAAAGTGGACTTGACTCCCAGGCTGCTGTGCCCTGGGAGCAAGGTCCTCGCCAGACCCTCCCAGGCTGCCGTTCTCTCTGCCCTGGCCTCCTGCAGAAGGCACCTGCGTCTGGTTGTCTCCCATGTCCTGCCCGCACAGTTCCGGGGCCTCCCTCGCTGCGGAGACTGGCTGCGGCCAGCCCGTGGGTCACCCCACACCATACACTCTGTCCTCCGGCCCAGGCCCTGGGAGGACTCCTGGTCCGTGAGACAGGGCGGCATCTAGAACGTGCTGCTGGAGGAGCTGGAGGTGCTATGCTGCAGGGACGGAGCCATCGTTAGCTCGGCCCCTTTGACCTTGCGAGCAGCGGGGGCCCCTTTGACCTTGCGAGCAGGCGGGTGCGCACTGCACTCCACAGTCCCTGGCGTTCCTTTTACGCTAGGAAGTTTCCAGAGTGTTTTCCCAGACGTGGTTTTTAACTTGATCTTCACAACCCTGTGAGGGAGGTAAGGCAAGTGGCATTCGCCTTGATTTGCAGACGGAAAGCCAGGGCTCAGAGAAAACGCTTGCCCGAGGTCCCATGGCTGCTGAGTGGTGGGGCCAGGCTGGAGCCCAGCAGCCTGACTCCCTGTCCAGTGCTCCTGCTGCTGCACGCTGCCCCTTCGACAGGGACAGTGAGGGGCACCGGCAGGAGGAGGCTTCTCCCTGTCCTGGGACAGGTAGCCTTAGGTAGCAGCACGGCGAGCCGCTAATGGACTCGCATCCAACGATTGTGGCATCGAAGTGCGGTCATCCAAATGAGAGCAATGCCTTTACCTCCTTGTCCTTCGCACTCGACATCGGCTCCCACTTCCCCGGGGAAGGGAGGCCACGTGGAGGCAAAGAGAAACAGAAGAGGCCGAGTCTTAGCTTGGAGCGTCCAGGGCTCAGGCCTGGCAGGGGAGGGTATTTCCAAGGACCTCACCCCCTGCCCCCCTGCCCCGCTGCTTGGAGCTGACAGCTGTGCTGCCAGGGCCGGGTCTGCCCTGTGGGTGTAGTTTGTCCGCTCACCGCTGTCCCTCTCTGTGCCACCCCCCACAGCGTGGATTTTGTGAAGTGGTCCTCCCAGGGGATGCTGAGGATGAGCCCTGATGCCATGAATGCCCTTTTCAAGCCAACCATCGACAGCATCATCGAGCATCTGCGTGAGTATCCGCCAGGGCTTGGCGGCTCCGGCAGAGCCGCGAACGGGACTGACTTTTCCAGCATCACCGACCAGGCATGTGAAGTCAGGTTGGCAGCCACAGGCCCTCGGGGACCGGAAGCAGCCGGGCACCGTCCTCACCCCCCTTTCCCTTTGGCTCCCCAGACAGTGAGCTGCGGGCCGTGTGGCAGAATGACCTCCAGCCACGGGCCCTGGGCAACGTGGTCTTTGCTTTCTGTGGAAAGATCAGGAACCACAGCCCTGGCTGGGAGAAGCCACTGAGTGTGAGCCAGAGAAAGGTCCCCAGGAGGGGAGACGGCGTCTGGCCACGTTGCTCTCTGCTGCCTCGTGGCCTCCCCCAGGGCCACACGGGAGACTCACCGGGGACCCTTTTCAGTATCTAGCCCCCCCCCCATGACCCTACCCCCCACTTACCAAATCACAACCCCTACGAAACCAAAGAATAATGTTTGTTTATTTACTTAATATTCTTATTGCTTTTTATTTTTTTATTATTTTTTTTTAAATATATTTTATTGCTTTTTTACAGAGAGGAAGGGAGAGGGATAGAGAGTTAGAAACATCGATGAGAGAGAAGCATCGATCAGCTGCCTCCCGCACACCCCCTACTGGGGATGTGCCTGCAACCAAGGTACATGCCCTTGACCGGAATCGAACCTGGGACCCCTCAGTCTCCAAGCTGACGCTCTATCCAGTGAGCCAAACCAGCGAGGGCCTTATTGCTTTTTAGATAGAGGGAAAGAGAGAGGGAGAGAGGAACATCAATGCAAGACATCAGCCCGTTGCCTCCTGCAGGCCCCCTACCGGGGACCGAGCCTACAACCCGGGCAGGTGCCCTGACCAGGAATCAAAGGTGCAGCCTTTCGGTGCCTGGGACAACTCCCAGCTGAGCCGCACCCACCAGGGCCACAGAGCAGCATTTTAAGCGCCTGCCTTGCCTTCCTTAGCAGAGCCACAGGTTTGTGAGGGTTAGGAGTAGCCTTTAGGCATCGCAAATTACTACTTTACACGATCGCCACCTCTGCTAAAATGGTATCTACTTAGCAGTAGCTTTGGCTGATGCTCTGAGCATAGTGGTGTGCAACCCCCTCTCTCTAAAGGACCAGCTCTCCACTAATTCTGTTCACACCAAGCCTGTCCTCCAGGTGGCTGTGTCCACGCCCCACATGCTCAGGCCACCCCGTCCCCGTGCTGCTGGCTCTGGTGACAGGACGGTGTCCTTCCCTCTCCCCTCGCAGGGGACCTGTTCCAGAAGCCCGAGGTGTCCACGGTCAAGTTCCTCTTCCTGGTGGGCGGCTTCGCAGAGGCGCCCCTCCTGCAGCAGGCGGTCCAGGCCGCCTTCGGGGACAAGTGCCGCATCATCATCCCCCAGGACGTGGGCCTCACCATCCTCAAGGGCGCCGTGCTCTTCGGCCTGGACCCCGCCGTCATCAAGGTGCGCCGGTCCCCGCTCACCTACGGGGTGGGTGTGCTCAACCGCTACGTGGAGGGCAAGCACCCGCCCGAGAAGCTGCTGGTGAAGGACGGCACCCGCTGGTGCACCGACGTCTTCGACAAGTTCATCGCCGCCGACCAGTCCGTGGCGCTGGGCGAGCTGGTCAAGCGCAGCTACACGCCCGCCAAGCCCTCCCAGCTCGTCATCGTCATCAACGTGTACAGCTCCGAGCGCGACAACGTGAGCTTCATCACCGACCCCGGGGTGCGCAAGTGCGGCACGCTCCGCCTGGACCTCACGGGCACCGGCGGCACCGCGCCCGCCCGGAGGGAGATCCAGACCCTCATGCAGTTCGGGGACACCGAGATCAAGGCCATGGCCGTCGACGTCGCCACCTCGAAGAGCGTCAAGGTGGGGATCGACTTCTTGAATTACTGACGGGCCCTCGCGGCGGCCTGCCCCTCGGACTCAGCCCACCTGCACCTGCCGACCTCAACCCTGACTGTCCTTTCCCTGCCCTTGACCCTTGACACGGCGCACCCGAGCTGCAGCAGGCGGATGAGACTGGAGCTAGAAATACCAGGGCCAGAAGCACAGAGGGGTTTCTGCGGGCACACTGGCGTCGGGAAATTCAGATTGAGGTTTGGGGGTAAGAAACCCAAGGGAGAGCAGCTGGTTTCATGGGCCCCCGGCAGAACACCCACCCGGCGAGGGAGCCAGGACATCTCTGCACCCGGATGAGCTCGCTCTCAACACCCCTCCGTCGAGCAGAACCAGGATGCTCTGTGACTGTCCTTCTGGATCCGAAAGGCGAGCGCTGAGCAGGACGAGATTCTCCATCTCCCTGAGGCTTTTCCTTTCGCCTGTTTTGGGCAGCAGTTGCTGTAAAGTGCCCCCCCCCCCCCCCCCCCCCGCCATCTGCAGTTCGTTGCTTTTCCTGGTCATGCGATTGAAAGTGGAGATTCGGTGGGAAGCTGGAGCGCGTTTCACGGGTGGGAGAAGACTGCCTACACTGGGCACTATTTCAGGTTCGCGTTTAAATTCCAAATTGGTTCTGTGGAGAATCACTGTGGCTGGGCGGATCCCGGGGATTGGTGTGAGGGGAGAGCTGACACCTCAGCGTTTCAGCAGGTAGAAGCTCGCTGCGATGGAAATGAACGTCCCCTACGCCGTGTCACTTCTGGCATCAGGAGGCCAAGTCCCCACTTCCGAATTCATCAGTAATTCTAGGACGTCCGGGTGAGGAAATGAGGTTGCCCAGGAGTCCGGAACAGCTCCTCGTTTTGAAAACATATTTCAAATGAACTCCGTCCTCCCAGCTCACACTCTTCCCCCTAAAGGGTTTGGCCATTTATTCCTACGTTTTCAAAGGGTTAGAAATGTGTGAGTGACGTCATCAGTTTTAAAGTCCGTCCGAAAGGAACCGTAGGTCTACGCTGGACGGGCCAAGCCAGATGTTTTCCAAAGCCGCTCTGTGAGTCTCCGGCACGAGGGCGCTGGTTCAAAGCAGGTTCCTGGAAATGTCCAATGGCTACCTTGTTCACCTGGAACTGTTACGACTGGTGTAATACTGTGCACCAGCTAGATGTAAGTGAAAAAGAAAAAGCAGTTTCCTGGATCCTATCCCTTTTATGCACTGAAGTCCCATCTTGGCGAGGAGACCAAGGCTGCGATTTCAGTAGACGCTGCGGGGACTGTGGTTTAGCTGTGTGTGAGGGCTCCTCACTAGGATCTTGTCGGAAGCTGACATGCAGACCAGAGCTGCCACCCGGCCTTCCCGTCGGTCTGGGCTCCCCTCGGGACAGGGTTTGCAGGAAGAACAGCCATCCCACACTTGCCCTCTGGTGAGTGGGGCTGGGGCCCCACCCGGCTTGAGGAGGTGCTTTTGACCCTCACAGGAGGGGCCTGGGGAGGAAGGCGACGCCTAAGAAAGGGGCTGCTGAGGAACCAGCGGTGGGGCCTGTGCTCTCTCCTTCCTTCCAGTCTTCTCCAACCTTCCAGGACCAGTTGAGAAAGAACCCTGGGTCTGATCACAGCCCACCCGATCTGTTCAGCACCATCTCTCCCGCCTGCTGGAGCCCGCTCCGGTGTTAAATCCCTGGGAGCATGCGTAACGCACGGAGGGAGGCTGGGCGAACCAACTTCCATGCGCATTGGATTCTCACACCCATCCTCGGCCGATACGCAGATGTGAACGAGCATTTTCGTGTCATTTTAACATGTCTCCCTCGTCACCTTGCCTGCCGCAGAATTCCCTAGTAGAGCGCGCAACACCACGGACCACGACTAGGGGGTGCTAGTCACACCACCGCCAGGGGCGCGCTGGTGCCGCAGAGGTGCTGCTGGTGTCCCTGCTGCCTGCTCTGCTTCCCGCACCTGCTCTGGGTCTCCGGTGTGACCAGCCATCCTCTACACACAGGACCTTTCAGCTTCGTTATAAGTAATATAATTTTATGTACAGACAGTATCAGAATATTGTACAGATTCTTTATTTCTACAATGTGCTTTTTTTTTGTTTAAAAAATAGGAAAATGCTCTTTGCATTTTGTTGATGACATTGCTGCCTTTAACTTCCCCTGGTTTCCTTTCTTCCCTGCGCTGACCGCTCCTTAGTTTGTACCGATACTACCCTATGGACTGTGTACGCAAGACCGAGCCACAGACAGAGGTGCCTGGGGTCCGAATACCCGGAGCACATGGGCCTCCTGGGTCGGCAGCTTCGTCAGACTCGTCTACACACGCGTCCTTCCCAAAGGGTCACAGTTTGCAGTTAAGGGAGCATAATAATGTGCAGATTCTCCTGTCCGGTCTCCGAGCTGAACGCTGGGTTCTGTAAGCAGTGGCTCTGCAGGAAACTCTCTGCGGCTCTGCAGGCTGCCCCGCTCTCCTTGTGGGACAGAGCAGCCCCTCTGAGGGCCAAGTGGGGTCCATGGGCGGGAGGTGCTCAGGTCGCCAGGGTCAAAGGAGGCCTCCGGTGGGAGCAGATCCAGCTCTTTCACTGGATCAGGTGTCAGGGTGGCTGACATGGCCAAGTCCCCCTCTTTCTGGCTAAGGAAGGCCTTTCCCGCCTTGCGTCAAAGACGTCTCCTTGTCTATTTCTCTTACTATCAGCCGGTTGAAACGGGAAATGTGGGCAAATAGAGGGTGGAGAGGGAGTAGTCCTTTTACTGGACTTGCTTCTGGCCCCAGAGATGCAGCCCCAAGAGTGGAACTCCTTAGAAGGCATCCCCCAAACCCATCCCTGCTCCCCTTTCCCCCGTGGAAATATTCACGAGTAAGCGGACTGGGTGGGCAAGTACACTCGGACACGTTTTCTAACCTTAGGAAGTTGCTGCAAGGCCTGTTGTCTTGACACATCACTCAGCTGTCCCTGGCGTGTTATCCGATGTTCACTTTTCCTGGAAGCAGAACGGTCAAAGGGTTTCTTTTGTACCTGCCCTTTCTGCACACAGCAGGCATTCGTCAGTTCTCAAGGACAGACAAGTTACAGAAAAGAGAGGAAGGAGGAGGAGCCCTGCGAGCCTGTGTGCGTAGCGGTGGCCAAGATGCGTCCAGTTCACAGAGCCTGCCCTCCCCCTAGAATGATATTTAGATCAAGTTTAGCTTTTAGCGTCCAGGTCTGGTTAACTGCCAGGGTGGCCTAGAATCGCATGCACCAATATACCCAGGAGTCAAAATGCAATATTAGTCGGCGATCGAACTTCACATTGTAGAGACAAAATAGCTGTGATTAAGCCGCATACGTATGCTGGGAAATGGCTTAACCGGATGACTAGTATAAAGGTTGTTGGCCGTAATGCTATACCTCTCGTCTGCTTGGAATAAGGAACTAGATTCTCAAATGGGTCTTGTTCAAGCTTCACAGAACTTTGTGGCAACTCACGACTCGACAAGGTTGTATCTGCAAACTCTGTCTTCACAGATTCTAATAAAACAAAGCTCTGGATTTCGTGTGGCCCAGACTTTTTCCCCCCGATTCTGACTGTGTAAATGGAATTTTAGATCCATCACTACCGACCTCCCCATCCCCATCTCAGGTGGAGGTAGATTTTTCAGGTGCGTCCTTAGGTGTGGCAAGCTTCATTAACTTTCCTTCCAACACGAGGGGCCCCTCTGCTCCCTGGGAAGGCTCCATTGATGTCTCTAGCCCCTTTCCCTCCAAGCGGGAGGGAAGCAGATAAACCAGCATGGCCACAGGCAACTCCGTGGCAGGCAAACGAAAAGGCTGTTGAAAAAATGGCTCAAGGTCAGGCGCCGGTGCCCGGGGCCTCTGGCGTCCTAGCGGACACACCACACTGGCTGCTGCTCCATGTCTGGGTCTCCCTCCAGAGTTGGCTCCAGAAGCTGCTGGGTCCTGTGGGTGGGGGGAGGCTGGGAAGTGCAGTAGACAAACAAGCACACGCGTGTTGGACAAGTGCACAGGCGGACAGGCCTCCGCTGCCTTCTAGGGAGCGGCTGGGGCCAGCAGGCTGGAGGCCACGCATCCCCTCCGAGTGGCCAGCGGGCCTCTTGTCATTCCAACGCAATGAAGGCTCAGGTCCCCGCCCCCTCAGTGCCCACAAGACCAGGCCGGTTAGAGGGACTGCGGCCCCCCATTTTGGTGCATTGCCCCTACTCCCTGCTGCCGGTCCAGGCTACCTGGAAACCCACCTTTCCTAACAGACCAAAGGCGGGGGCGGGGGGCGGAGCCCAAGGGAAACACCTGTATTTGAAACCCGCCTCGCACCAGGCCCTCCAGCCCCAACGCAGGCCCTGGTGGTCGCATCACGGAAGGCGGTTTGACCTGGATCCCTTCGCGTGCCCCTCCCCCCAACTCCAAAACCCGGGGAGCCCAGCTAGCTGGGGGAGGCCGGGAAGGAGGTCCGCTTTGGAGACCAGGCATTTGTGGGGCTACTGAGCGGGGCGCAAGGTGAAGCGCCCCCACATTCACTCGGCTCACCCGCCTCCCTGGCACCGATGTGGGGCTGCGGGAGGGGGAGGCGGGGGGCGGGGAGGGGAGGGAGGGGGAGGAGCTGGCTGAGGAGCCCAACCGTCACGCTCCCCCTCCCCCCTCCCTGGCGGGTGAGCGCACAAAGGCCTGGAGGCGGGGCGGAGGCCACGCGTGTGCAGGAGGCTCCGCTGGCCGCGATCCAGGCCTGCCCAGGTGGGCGACTCGGGAGGGGCTCCGAAACGGGAGGTGGGCTCCGGTGTCCCAGCGTTCAGACCCCGACCCCCTCGCACATCTCCCCTCCAAGCTCCTCCTGCCCCCTCCTCCAGGCAGGCCTCCCAGCTCACCACCTGCCGCGCTGGGCGCTGCTCCCTCCCCAGCGGCTTACTTTTGGGCAACAGAACCCTGCCCCTCGGAGTTAGATTGGGCAGCAGAACCCTGCCCCTCGGAGTTTAGAGATCGTCCCGCACCCTCCCTGGACGCGACAGCCCTCACACAATTATCCAGCCTCTGTGCCGCCCACCCACCCTCCGTCCAATGGGGACCTGAGTAGGAACGAACCCTTAGTGTGGCCATGAGGATTTTACCAGAATGCAGCCCCGCGGTCCCCTAGCAAGCGGCCTGTAAATGTCTGAACTGTTTAAATTAGATTCCCATCCTTGCCCACTAAACCTGACACCGCGACCCTCCCCTCACGCCCTGAGGCCACGTGTCCCAGTGGGAGGGCATCACTTTTTTTTAACATGTTTTTCCCATTGATTTTAGACGGAGTGGAAGGGCGGGGAGAGTCAGAGAGGGAGGAACATCCATGGGAGGGAGAAACATGGATTACTTGCCTCCAACATGCGCCCCAACTGGAGTCAGGCATTCCACCTGCCACCAGGGTAAGTGCCCCACCTCCCACGGGAACGAACCCAGGATCCTTTAGTCCGAGGGGCCCATGCTCCAACCACTGAGCCAAACCGGCCCGGGAGGGAGGGCATCCCTTTTAAGAGATGACCTGGCTTGGCGGGTGGGCCTGGCAGCCTCCACTCGCGCTGCTGGACCTGCCCATCTCAGAGGGGCCTGCTGGCCATCCCTGCAGAGGGAAGGGGCCTGGCTGTGGGACGGCACCCACAGGAACTGATGATCAGGGTCCCCACCTTCCTCTCTCACCCAACCTGGACGCCACGCCAGCCTCTGGGGATTTCCGACCCCTGCAGCCAGAGCTTGCTCTGCTGCTTTGCTGTGGGAACAACGCCCTGTGATTGGCAGGATGTGGAGCAGCATCCTGGACATCAGGAGCACCCCATCCCCCAGTCATGACAACCCCAAATGTCTCCAGACCCTGCCAGGTGTCCTGAGGGGGTGGGGGATGGGGACCTGATTCCCCCTGGATGAAGAAAGGCTCTGGGGTGAGTGCGCCTCACCCTGCCCCCCTCAGGTTCTCCAGCAGGGACACCGGTGGGTGGGGGTCTGCACACCTGTTATCTGAGTTCACGTCCGAGTCCTGGTTACGTTGGCGGAGCTGCTTCTCCTTCCCCGCCCCCTGGCAGGCTCACGCTATGCCCAAGGCTCCAGCTCCCTCCACGTGAGTTCTTAACGCAGGGACGTTGGGTGCGAATTCCATCCCGTCTTCCCTTTGTTAGCCTTGTTAGCCGAGTACAACGCCATGGACTCGCCCCAGGTCTTCATGAGGCAGCTGCCCGTCACCCCAGGCTACAGCGGTAAGTGGTGCGGTAAGTGGTGCAGAGACGGGCCTGGCACGAGAGCCAGAGTCCTGGTTCCTGGCCCTGCTCTGGCCCATTGTTCACGTGTGTCTGGCGGATGGGGCCAGTACAAGTGCTTGGGCTTTTAAGATACGTGGTTGACGGTGGCTGATCACTGGGCTCTGATAAGTGAGAGATACAACTTAGGCCAAGTCTCCCCGGACGGGACCCGGTGTGCAGGGAGCACTGAGCTAACGTCCACCAAATGCATCCGGACCAGACTGGACACAGTGCTGAGGCCCTGGCCTTCCTCCCCAGCTGGGCTCTCTGGAGTTTTCCGATGGACGGTGCCTATGGTCCCGTTCCTCCTCGTGTCCTTGTGAGGGACGATGACCGGCTCCTCAGAACGGCCCCGCTTTTAGCACGGACAGTCCTGTGTTCCAGGAAATGCCTTGGCACCTGGACAATTGGTCACCCCACCTAACGGGCTGACCAGTTCTGGGCAACTGAGAAGGTACCAGGTCACATCGCTGTGACAAGTCCAGTGACCCCTGTGGCCCTCAGCTCTCTCACAGGTGTCCTCAGGAGGGGAGATGCGGGGGCCTCTTCCACGGTTGCCCAGCCTCACCTGGTCCTACTGGTTGACTGAGACAACAGGCTTTGGGTTCTAACAAACTGAGCTTCCAGGTTCTGCCTGGCCATTGTCTGTATGGCTGTGAGTTACTTACCTCTCGATGGTAAGTAAATATTTCTGTAAAATGGGTGTATTTGTTCCCGAGGGCTGTCCTTTGAAACAACAGATATTTGTTATCTCGCCATTCTGGGGGCCAGAAGTCTAAAACCAAGGAGTGGGCAGGGCCGGGCTCCCTCGAAGGCCCCAGGGGAGGGCCCTTCCTGCCTCTTCCAGCTTCTGGTGGCCCCGGCATTCCTTGGCTTGTGGCAGCATCACCGCCACCTCCGCCTCCATCTTCACACGACTCTCCACGCGGCCTCCTGCCCTGTGTCTGCATCTGTGTGTCTCAAAGCTCTGTCCGTCCTTTTTATAAGGACACCAGGCGTTGGATTTAGGGCCCACCCTAAATCCGGGATGATCTTATGTCTGATCCTTAAGGACATCGGCAAAGACCCTATTTCCAGATAAGGTCACATTCACAGGTGCCAGGGGTTGGAACTTGTATTGGGGAGGTACAGATCTGCCAACTGCAAGGGGAAGTCATGGATTTTGTATAAGATTGTTGTGGGGATTAAAGGAGCCAGCCTGTGTAACCTATTTAAAATGCCTTGGCCCTTAGCAAGACTCAGAAAAGGTAGCTTGTGTTCCTGTTTGTGACATAAAATCTACACCGAGCCCTAACCGGTTTGGCTCAAGGGTCCCAGGTTCGATTCCAGTCAAGGGCATGTACCTTGGTGGCGGGCACATCCCCAGCGGGGAGGTGTGCAGGAGGCAGCTGATCGATGTTTCTCTCTCATTGATGTTTCTAACTCTCTAACCCTCTCCCTTCCTCTCTGTAAAACATCAATAAAATATTAAAAAAAATCTACACCAATCGAAGTGGCCCTGTCAGAGGAGAAGCCACAGTGGCAAGGCCCCTGGCTTTCTCCAGTCTCCCCCCTGACATCAGGGTATGTGCTAATTGCCCAAGGGTTGGGGAGACTGACCTTGGAGGACTTCAAGGTCAGTCTAGTAATTAGATTCTTCTTTGAGGTGGCCAGGGCTAGGGGTTTTTGCTTTCCACCATGAAGCCAGGTTTTCTTGACTTGGGGACCAGGCAAAAAGATTGGGCTTCAATCAGGAGGGTTCATTTATTTATTTGGCAGCTTAAAACCAAGCTTTTACCCAGTTTATCCTCGTTTGTCCTTTTTTTTTTTTTTTTTAAAGTGGTTTCGTTGTGGCAGTATTATAGTACGTAGGATTTCAGCATCCAGTGTAAATACATAGCTGTGTTTGACCCATACTAATTGTAATGATTCTCTGTTGTTTTGTGGGACATGGTGAAAAATTGTTCTGGGCTGCGTCTCAGCGATAACGAGTTTACCTTTTTGTGTAATAGGTCTGTGCTTTTAATAAGCCCGCAATTTCCCAATGGTCGGCCAAGAAAGATCCCCAGTTGCATTTGGGAAGTGTCAAGGAAAATAAACTTTCTCTCTGAAAACACGAGTGATTTCAGTTGCTCCTCAGACTTCATTTCGGCCCATGACACGCTTTCCCCATTCACCCCATTCACCGTCCAGCCTCACCTCAGGGGCTTTGCTAGCAGAGACCCTGACTGTTATCGCCTGGGTGGAAAGGGGCCTTCCCTCCCCCGAGTCAAGGTCATTGTTTTTGTGGCCGTGGGAGGGCCCAGCCGCAGGGGAAACAGCAGCCCAGCTTGTCTGAATGGCCTTTAGGGAAATGCAGAGCCCTGGGCCCAGGAAGACATGGCAAGCTCTGGGCCGAGAGTCTGGGCCGCGCTTGCTGAAGGCTTGCCCCCCTCCCCTCCCGCAGGCTTCATCCCCTACCTGAGCTGCGAGGGCACCTCCAGCGAGGACCACATGTCCCGCTGCCTGCAGGCCTTCCGGGAGAAAACACAGCGCTACAAGGACCAGCAGAAGGAGTTCTGCCACGCGGTGGCCATGGACCCCAAACTGAAGCCCATCTGCCGGGAGGAAACGGTCCTGCGGGTGCTGCACCAGTACTACCAGGAGCACCACCCCTTGCTTCTGGGTACTGGCTCCCCGAAGGCAGCCCCCTTCACCCCTGGGGCCCAAGTGAGGCTCCGGCAGGGATGTCCCTTGTCTGAGGTCAGACCTGGGTTTGAACGCAGCTCCTCCAGGTCCCAGCTGGGTGGGACAGGGCTTTGCACTGATAACCACAGAACCCACTGAGAATAGAATTATGTACCATTAATCATCACAACAGTGATGTGCCCGGGACCATTTTTCAGGGGTAAAGGCTTATAGGGAACGTAATGGACTGATTTTCTTTATTATTACTACTGTTTGAGGACTTTCAAGGACACGATTCTTGTGCTTCACAATTGTTTAAGACATCGCAGAGAGCATTTGCCGAAGAGGTTGTGATTTAGCCCAGCTCTGCAGCTATTTGCTGTGGGACCGAAGGCAGGTTGCTTCCCCTCTCTGGGCTCCAATTTTTACAGCCAGGGCCTGGAAAGATGGACTAGATGTTCCCTAGGGTGCCTTCCAGCTCTGAGGTTATGGGACTCAGTGGCCTAATTGGATTTTTACAGCCACTGGAGGAGGCTGATGGGGCAGTAACCTTTTACCTCACAAATGTGCAAGCGCCCGAGGTCAGCCAGCCAGGCAGTCAAACCTGCAGGCAGGTTCCAGGGCGGATGGCCCTTCCTTCCTTCCTTCCTTCCTTCCTTCCTTCCTTCCTTCCTTCCTTCCTTCCTTCCTTCTTGATTTCAGGGAGAGGAAGGGAGAGGGAGAGAGAGAGAGAAAAACATCAGTGATGAAAGAGAATCATCGATCAGCTGCCTCCTGCACGCCTCACACTGGGGATGGAGCCCACAACTTGGGCATGTGCCCTGACCGGGAATCGAGCTGTGACCTCTTGGTTCATAGGTCAATGCTCAACCACTGAGCCATGCTGGCTGGGCTCTTCACCTCTTTTGTTAAAAATATATTTTTTTTGATTTCAGAGAGGAAGGAAGAGGTAGAGAGATAGAGACATCCATAATGAGAGAGAATCATTGATTGGCTGCCTCCTGCGTGCCCCCCACTGGGGATCGAGCCTGCAACCTGGGCATGTGCCCTGACCAGGAATTGAACTGTGACCTCCTGGTTCATAGGTCGACGCTCAACCCCTGAGCCACGCGGCCGGCCTCTTCACCTCTTTAAAATCTCCGTTTCCTCCTCCATAAAGTGGAGGTAATAATAGCACCAACTTCCCCTGGCTTGTGAGAGAATGAAATGGGAGGCTGTATGTGTAACTCCAACCAAGGTGCCTGGCACGGAGAGTCCACCAGCCAGTGGCAGCTGCCATTAGGACCCCTACAGGCCTAGGGGTCCACCAGGGCTAACTGTTGGGGTGCTAGCCAACTCGGGGGCCCTGCCCAGGGGTGGCTTCTCCGAGCCCTCAGGAAGCGTGGGTCTCTGTACAGAATGCCGACACCTGAGGAAGCCTCTGGAGGAGCCCCCGATCCCCGGCTGGGCGGGCTACCTGCCCAGAGCCAGGGTCACCGAGCTGGGCTGCGCCACCCGGTACTCGGTCATGGCCAAGAACTGCCACCGGGACTTCATGGACCTCCTGGAGCGGTCCGAGAGAGCGCACCTGAAGCCCTATGAGGAGTAAGTCTGGCTCGGGCGGGCGGGACGCAGGCGACAAGGGGCAGGGCCGACCCCGGCCAGGCCTTCCCGCTGCCCCATCCCAGCACCAGGACAATGTGGTGTCTGGTTTGTTTTCCACGGGCCTCGTTTGTAGCTGCCCGGCCTTCCTCGTGGCCAGCCGCCCCGCATTCCCCGTCTGTGCCCAGCATTCTCCGCAAGTCCTGCTTGTGGTCCTTGCTGGTTTACAGGGAGAGGCTGGGAGTGAAAACCAACAACGGGGTCACCCTCCTGGCAGCAGCCTAAGGCCCCAGGGTGCCGAGGGAGGGCAGGGGCAGGGCACGGCACAGGGTGGCGCGTGTGGCCTCAGTTTTCCCTTCTGTAAAATGGAGATGATAATCCTTCCCTTTAGGATAAATGGTAAGGATTAGAAATAAACATCTCGGCTCGCACAGAAACGGCATAGGTTCTGTTTATTCTTATCTCCATTACTAATCAAAGGAGTGACTCCATGACTTTTGTCCTTATTTTAGAATATACGGAGGGAGGTCCACGCAGCCTCCTCCTGCTCCTTCTCCAAAAGTTTTGCAGCACGAATGGCTGCCGAAATACCCGGACTCTTCCGTACCAGGTGAGCCAGGGCTCTCCTCCCTTCCTGCTGGCTATTTTTTTTCTTTTTGGTTAATCCTCACCCGAGGATATTTTTCCATTGATTCTTAGAGAGAGTAGAAGAGAGGGAGACACAGAGAGAGAAACGTAATCACTGATGTGAGAGACACATCGACGGGCTGCCTCCCGCATGCGCCCCGACTGGGGCCGGGGATTGAGTCTGCAACCCAGGTATGCCCTTGACCGGAATCAAACCTTGGACCTTTCACTTGACTATATTCGAACCCTGGACCCTTCAGCCCACGGGTCAATGCTCTATCCACCGAGCCAAACCGGCCCAGGGCCCTTCCTGCTGTTTTTAAAAAGGGGAGGGGGGTAGGGGTGGCATGTTGGCACGGGCGTCTGCACCGCCGGGCACCTGCCTGCACCCACGGACGGTTTGTCTTGCAGACAGCAGCTGTCCTGGCCTTGGAATGCCCCCGACCGAGCACCCCCGGCCTTCGGGGACGTGTGGCTGGGCTCAGAGACCAAATCAGTGGTGCAACAGGAAGCTCTATCTGGAGCCATTGTCCTCAGCCAAGAGCCACCTCGGAGAGCCGCCCAGGGAGAGTGGACTCTAGGGGGCGCTCAGGAGCTCCCAGTCTCCCATGAGAACCTGCCCCCTTCATCCCCCAGCAGGACTAGGGAGATTTGTACCTGGGAATCCTTTTCACCCTGGCTGGTTGGAGTGGGTGTCCTGAGCGATAAAGACCTTTTGTTGTCCTGTGGGAATAAAGAGTACTTCTCAGCATCCCAGCAGCTTCTGACCTCCTGATCAGGTTTTCCCTGATTCCGACCCCGAGAAGAGCCAGGTGGGGCCCATGTCTTCCTAACCCGGAGGCAACACGGTGCCCCTGGGCCAGGCTGTGATGGAAGCCCTGCCGGCCCTGGAACCTGGCGGTCCCATCAGCGTCCTGACCTGGGAGTCCCCACGCTGTCACAGAGGCCACCCCCACCCCTACCTGGGTGTGCAGCATCCCAGTCCCCGGGAGAGCCCTGCTGGCCGTGGAGGGCCACAACCTGGGCCGCGTCAGACAGCAGAAATTTCTGGAAGTCTCCAAACTCGAGGAGTTAGCAGGGCCAGGCTCCCCCTGAAACCTTAACGAGGAATCCTTCCTTGCCTCTTCCCAGCTCCTGGAGCTGTGCCGGTGGTCCTTGGTGCATAATTCCAGTGGGTATTTTTTTTATATGTATTTTTATTGATTTCAGAGAAGAAGAGAGAGAGTTAGAAACATCAATGATGAGAGAGAATCATTGATCAGCTGCCTCCTGCACGCCCCCTACTGGGGATCAAGTCTGAAACCCGGGCATGTGCCCCTGACCGGAATCGAACCCGGGACCCTGCAGTCCACAGGCCAATGCTCTATCCACTGAGCCAAACCGGCTGGGGCTCCAGTGGGCACCCCTCTGTGACTTCGTGTCTTCACATGGCTTTGTGTCTTCGTGTTTTCTTACGAAGACGCTGGTCACCATGGATTAGGGTCCATCCTTCTCCAGTATGACTTCATCTAAATTTCGCTCATTAGGTCTGTAGGGGCCCTGTTTCCAAATAAGTCGCATTCTGAGGTACCAGCGCATAGGACTTCAACATACCTGTTTTGGGGGACACAATTCTACCCCTAACACTGGCTAAGTGCCTCTTGCCGCTGCCAGGTGCACTCTGTCCGCCCTCATGGGCACTCAGAAGAAATGGAAGCGGCTGCCGGGCAGTGAGGCCTCGGCATGAAAAGGCTCGAAGCTGCTCAGGGCCCGACGATGTGGGGAGCTCCTGCCGGGGTCCCCCCAGGGCGGGGATGTTCTCCAGGCTCCCTGGACCCCTGTGTCCCCGCAGTGGGAACCAGGAGTCAAATCTTTGATGAGAAAAAGAAGTTATATCTTGGTTTTCACTGAGTGAAACTTGGGCTTGCTTTCATGAATGTAGGGAACACACCACAGCCATACCTGTCACCTTAGACCAGTGGAATTCTCACACCTCCTCACACTCATGACATTCGTTACAAACGATGCCAGAGATGATGCTACTGCGATCACTACTCTGCCATGATTGGGATTCTTAGAGCCACCACACTGTCTGACACGCTGCTGTTCAATACAGGCCTAAAGGAACATGCTATTGCACAAATGGGTTCTTTTTACTATTTGGATACTATTTCAATATAATTTATTTGCTCTGTCAGCTCCTGTATTTTATTTTACATTTAAAAACATTATTCTGAGAAGAGGCCCACGTTTTCTCCAGGCAGCCAGGTAGCCCCTGGCACAGAAATGGTTAAGACCCTTGTCCAGGGAAACAACCAAGCAGGAGTGTAAAGAGTGAGTGTCATACAAGCCAGAACAACCGCCCAAACCCCACGGGACCTGGGATTGCAGTCTACCTGATTATTCAAAACAGTGTGATAGAAAAATGCTGCTGGGGAAAACATGATACAGTACAGGCAAAACACAGGCATAACAGCAAACCTATGTGTGTACTCACACACAAATCCTATTTATTGTGTGTGTGTTTTTTTAAAGGGTGTGTAGAGGGAGCTAAACCATAATGCCAACAATGGTTATTTAGATGATGGTGCTATCGGTCATTTTTATTTTCTTGTTTGTCTGCCACCCCCAATTTTCCACAGGCAACAGCTATCATTAACATAATCAGTAAGAAATGTTATTTTAAGTCCTTATTTGAGCCGGACTGGTGTAGCTCCATGGTTGAGTATGAACCTATGAACCAGAAGGTCACAGTTTGATTCCCTGTTAGGGCACATGCGTAGGTTGCGGTCTCCATCCCCACTAGAGGACGTACAGGAAGCAGCCAATAAATGATTCTCTCCCTTTCCCTTCCTCTCTGAAATCAATAAAAATATATTTTAAAAACAGAATCCTTATTTGGATTGATTAGGAGATATTTTAATCTTTCAGAGATTATACCTTTGCAGAAAAAAAAGTCACATCTCAGCACAAGGTAGCTGACACTCTCTTCAAAGGGCGGGGCAAGGCTCAGGGAGTAGTTGGGATATTTTCCAGTTTCCAGAAGCCCTGGGAGCGTGACCCACAAAGTCCAAGAAGAGAAAACAGGAGACAGGCCCCTCACCTGCCTGGGCGGGAGCAGTGAGCCTGCCGTCCGGCCTCTCAGACACGAACCACGGGAGGTGTAGCTGGCTGGTCCCCCCTCCCAAACCACAGAGTTTGGGGATCACTGCTCTGGGCTCAAGCTCACTGAGATCTTTGCCCTTGAAATTAAGGGGACCCACGACCACAGCGGTTCCTCGAAACTGCCCTGGTGCTAACCTCATCCACGGGATCACATCATGCATCAAAATGTAAGCTCCCACTAATTCAGCGGTTCTCAACCTGTGGGTCGCGACCCCTTTGGCAGTCGAATGACCCTTTCACAGGGGTCGCCTAAGACCATCCTGCATATCAGACATTGACATTACGATTCATAACAGTAGCAACATTACAGTTATGAAGTAGCAACGAAAATAATTTTATGGTTGGGTCACAACATGAGGAACTGTATTTAAAGGGCCAGAAGGTTGAGAACCACTGCTCTAATTCATCTGATACCAATCTTTACAAAATGGCTCCTGGCCCGGCAGGTGTGGCTCATCTGGTTGAGTGTCATCCCCTGCACCAAGAGGTCTCCGGTTCATTCCTGGTCAGGGCACATGCCCAGCTTGCAGGCTCAACCCCCAGTAGGGGGTGTGTAGGAGGCAGCCAATTGGTGTTTCTATCTCTCTCTCTCCCCCTCTCCCTTCCTCTCTTTCTAAACAAATCAATAACATATTTAAAATAATAATAAATAAGAAAGTAAAAAATGGCTTCTGTAAAACACAAAAAACAACCACCCAATGAAGTTACCAAAGAAATAAAGGGAACTTAAAAAATTGATTAATAGTATCTAATTCCTCCACAATTTCAAGATTAAGATCACCAGGTTCAATGTGCAAATCTGTAACTCCTTTTCTTGATGCCGTTCTGCATGGCGATTCTTTCCTTAATCTTTATCCTTTTTGTTTCTCGCCAGACTATAATTGCCAGAGCATTGTCTGTCTGGGCCGGTAGAGAGATGATTTTAGGGGCCTGGGATTGGTGACTGGCTGGTTCTAAACAGGCTCTCGGCCGTGGCTGTCACTTCGCTCTAGCACCATGGTTTCTACATCGAATCGGTTCAAGAAAGAAGAGAGCACAAGCAGGAAACACAAAAGTATAATGAATGTGACAGAGCCGGTACAATGGAGGGAGGATGCTGAGAGCTGGGCTTCGGTGTCATCACGTCGGTGGTGTGAAACTTAGGCACCCTAAGCCTTAGTTTTCAGTTATAAAATGAGAATACCTTCCTCAGAGGTTGTTTGGGAGGATTAAATGGGGTAATGTTCACAAAGGGTGTGGCTTACCATTTAATATATATATGTGTGTGTTTGTGTAGAGATATATATACATATATGGATTTCAGTGAGGAAAGGAGAGCTAGAAACATCCACTCTCCACAGTGGGGATCGAGCCTGAAACCTGAGCATGTGTCCTGACCGGGAATCAAACCTTGACCTCCTGGTTCATAGGTTAACACTCAACCACTGAGCCACGCCAGCCTAGCATTTTGCTAACATAAACCTCACAGGCCCTCTGCTTCCTTTTGAGCACAGCTAACAGCACCAGAAAGGAACAATAAAAAGGCAAACATGAAAAGTTCAAGTAAGGCTCAAGACCCGATGCCCTCACCTCTCTGCCCTGCTCCCAGGCCTTGCTCATCAGACCCCCTCCCCACCCCAGAATTTCAAAAGTTGGGGTCCTGGCTTCTTTCCCAGAAGGCCTCTGGGTCCCCTAAGCATTTTACTCTCCACTCTCTAAAGATGCCAGGTGTCCCCTGGTGCCCGGCCCAGAGGGAGCCCTCCACAGGTGAGCTGTCACTGTGAGACGGCCCAGGCAGGCAGAGCCCCATCCGTCCTCTCCTAGACAACCTCCATCCTCTTCCTAAGTCAGCCCCTTCCCAGAGAAAATAAAACACCCCCGACCCCAAAGGCTGACATGTTCCCAACAAATGTGACCCCAGAACCTGGAGGATGGCAAACTAACACCTCAATGTCAACCCGAGGGCATGAAAAATTTATTGCCACAAAGATACAAGAGAGCAACACATTTTTTTAACAAACGTACTTTATTGATTTTTGCAGAGAGGAAGGGAGAGGGATAGAGAGTCAAAAACATGGATCAGCTGTCTCCTGCTACTAGGGAAGTGCCCACAACCAAGGTACATGCCCTTTACTGGAATTGAACCTGGAACCCTTCAGTCTGCAGGCCGACACTCTATCCACTGAGCCAAACCGGTTAGGGCAAGAGCACCACATTTTTAACAAGGGAGAAGGGTCTGTAACTGGTTTCCTTTCACAGTGTCCTCACTGCAAAAATGATACCTGCGGAGGAGAACATGTTCAGCGTGAGGCTTGGCAGCTTGTGGAAATGTCCCCTCAGGTGAGTAAACAGCGTTTAGCCACACCCTGGAGTTCAGACCGTTTTGACTGAAAGGCTCAGCTAAAACCATGCAGAGTCCACGTGGTTCTTACTAAGCAAAACCCTGTGAAGAACACCCTCTCCTCCTGTGGCCTTTTAAGAAGCTGAAAGTGAATCAGCTGTGTCAACCACAGATTTTCAAAACATGTGGCTTTGGGTGGGCCTGGCATTGAAGTTGGGGACTGGGGTGCCTCCACCTGCCAAGAGGGGACTTTCCCTAGAGTTCAGAACCTGGGGGATTCTTCATACATTGCTTCTGGGAATGGAAAATGTGCCAGCCACTTTGGGAAATAGACTGGCAATTCTTCTAAAGGTTAAACATAGTAGTTACCACATAACCTAGCAATTCTGCTCCTAGGTATGTTCCCAAGAGTAATGAAACATATGTCCACTCAAAAACTTGTACATAAATGTTCACAGCAGCATTATTCATAATAGCCCCAAAGTGGTAACATGCCTGATGTCCATCAACTGCTGGATGGATAAATAAAAGATGGTATATCCATATAAGAGAATATTATTTGGCAGTAAAAAGGAATAAAGTACTGATCCATGTTACAACATGGATGAAACTTGAACATGTTATGCTACGTGAAAAAAGCCAGTCACAAAGAACTATACATATTGTCCTTTTATATGACATGTCCAGAATAGGAACATCTATCCAAAGAGAAAGCAGGTTGCCCAGGGCTGGAGATAAGGGGTGGTAGATCATGGGATGATGGCTGATAAGTGTGGGTTTTTTTGGGAAGGGTGATGAAATGTTCTAAAATTGACTTTAGAAATGATTCCACAACTCTGCACATATACTAAAAATCACTGAAGTATATACTTTAAATGGGTGAACACAGGCTATGAAAATTATATCTCCATAGAGATGTTGGGGGGAAGGACCATGGAGGGATGTCACTCCTGAAGAGGGTGAAGCCCGTCCAGTTGGGGCAACAGCCCAGCCATGAGATGCAGGACACCTGCCTCCTCCTTTCCTGTGGGCGTCTTTGCTAAAGACGAGCCTCCCCCATGGCTCAGCTGCAGAATGTGGCTGGATTGGAGGTCAGAGGACTGGGGTCCAAGTCCTGGTTGTGCCTCAGGCTCAAGCTCTGCTCTTGAATAAACAAAGTACTCACACAGCCGCATTGACCTCTGACCCTTCTAGTACCACGCCCAGGAATCAGGCCTATGACCATGTACTGTCAGCACAGCTAAGTCATGCAGCTGAGCAAGGTCTTCGTATGTGTTTTTGAAAATAGTTTGCAAATACTCTTCCCTCTGGCTTTCCTGGGTGGCCTTAGACACGTTATGTGACTCTGCGAACCCCACTCTTCTCATGTTAACATGAGAGCAGTTGAGAGGTGATTGAGTTTCCTTCAGACGCTGACATCTGTTGTTTTGTATCATCCTCAATTAAGGTCGCCTTTTTTCTTGCCATATTGTAAACACTGTTATGTTCTCTCCCTACTCTCACCAAGTAAGATTCCATCCTCTCAGCAAGAGAAGAGCTTGCCACTGGGAGCTAGATCCTCACACAGTCTGTATTCCTCTCAGGCCTCAGTCTCCAAACAAAACAATTTGTATGAATAAATGCACCCAATGGAAATAAACCCGAGAGTTCCTACAGCTACGGCCTGGGTGCTTTCCTTCTTGTTTGAGATAAAACGGAGTCTCTATTGGCCTGTTTCTTGAACCCATGCCTTACAATTGATGTCTTGCTCTAGCCAAGTTGAATTTGGCTTAAGGAAAATGATGATTGATTTTTCCAAGTAAATCAGATGGGTAGATGGAAAAATGCAGAGTTGAGAGGAATAGTTGGGTAGATGAATGGCTGCATGGATAAGTGGATAGGTAAGTGGTTAAGTGGATGGAGAGAAAGGGATGAAGGAATGGGTGGGTAGAAGGATATGTAGGTGGATGGGTGGGTGATTGGATATATGCATGTATGTTTGCAGAGATAGAGTGATAAGGAAATAGAGAAACAAGACTTAGGTGCAATAAAAGATACTCACATAGTCCCATATTCTCCACTTTGCACTGTGATATTCGAAGCCCCCAGTTTGTACTGGAATATATTTAGCCAATGCTTTTTCCAGAGGAACGTAACATTCTGGATTTTTCCAACGTTGATGTCCACATCAATGTCACGCACATGTTTTGTATGTGGTTTGAGGGATCCACTGCAAACATAGACATAAAGTGTTCTATCAGCTGGATAGATGAACACTAGGGTGATAGCAACCCACTGTTACTCCAAACAATGGCTGCTGCTGTTGGCTTTCTGCAATTCCCTTGACTGCCTCCATACATATCCAGGGGCACTAAAACACAAACGTATGTGTGAAGAACACACCTTTAGAATAATACGGGACTCTAGATTCTCACTGTCTTGATAGGTATCTAGAAGGAAGTCAACTACTTGGGGCGGCATATTGACTCTTTAATTTCACTGCAGGACTCTTATCTTTCTTTAAAGATTCATGTGCTTCAGCCAGGGTCATCTGTGGGCATCTCATATGTAGCATAGCAAGTAGTCAAAGAACTTTAACTTAACATGAAAATTATTATGCAAACTTAGTGAAAAAACAGAATCTAATTTTACAGCACAGTTATCCAACGCATTTTTACCAAGAGCCTCATATACCCACAAAAGCTAGGTGCTGAGGCTACCATCACAACAGGAAGCCAGCTTCATGCTTCAGGTGGAACACAGCTCACGCGGGGGAACGAGTGTGTGTGTGGGATGGGAAGGAGTTGCCATATAAATGTGCCTTGTCTAAGGAGAACATGATATTCATAAAAATTAAGCAGGGCCTGGTTCCTGTGGCTGAGAGATAGAATGTGGACTCATGAACCAGGAGGTCACAGTTCAATTCCTGGTCAGGGCACATGCCCAGGTTTTGGGTTCGATCCCCAGTAGTGTGTGTGCAGGAGGCAGCTGATCAATGATTCTCTCTCATCATTGATGATTCTCTCTTTTCCTCTCCCTTCCTTTCTCTGAAATAAAATTTTAAAAAATTAAAAAAACAACAACAGCAACCCCACAACTTCAGCAGGAAGGAAGCACTGATTGGCAATCCAGAAAGAGTCAGCCTTTAAAATCACGAGTGCTTCCTCTCTGGCCTCCCTCTTCTCCTATGGGGTGATTGAGTTAGATGCTAAGATTCTTCAACTCTGACATTCTAGGATTCAAAGGTTCTGTTTGGCTAGATGTATGTAGAAGTTTACACCCAATCTTGTATTAATAATCTATTAGGGAAAGTATGGTCATTTCGCTTTACTATCAGACTTACCTGAAAATTTCATACTGCTTTGAGGTTCCATTGCTTCCATATAAAGCAATCCTGATGGACCCACTCATTTCCTTTTTTCCAGCCAGTGTGACTGATACCCTGTATCTCCAACCTGTGCAAAGACAAGATACTGTCAGTTCAATGAACTCATCTTGTTGGAAAAAAAAATGACCCATGGGAACATCCTTGTTCCAAGCTCTGAATCCCCTAGGAGTGGGAGTTAGGGGCGAATATAACGAATGGTTTCCTTCAATGCAGTTGGGGTCCCAGGAATTCTGATGGTAGGTGGGATGAGAGACTCAGGGGGAAGTAAATATTGCAGGTCAGCATAATCTCTTCCCATTCCAACCAGGTGTGTGTTCAATGGATGGAGGGCGGCTGGTTACTATACCCAGGTACCCAGGTGCCACCATGGACTGTACCAGAAAGACCACCGGGAGAGGGAGACGTCTGGGCTCCAACATTTGGATAAATCACTTACTGCTGCCTTCTTTGTTTTTATTTTTGTTATTTTCCCATGCTATGGACATGTTCTCAGTGGAAAAACAACACAGACAATTTTTAAAAAATGAATAAACCTTTCTCAGCGCTCTGTCCACCTGCCCTCCATCTCAAGGTCTCCCCAGTTTGGTCTGCAGACTTAACCAAGCCCCGCGGGGTGATTTGCTGCCCGGGACAATGGCATTGTCTGGAGATGTTCTTGACTGTCACACCCAGGGAATGGGGTGGGTGCATCCAGGGCTACTGGCACCTTGCTGGAAGAGGTCACGGATTTGCTAAACATACTGTAATATACAGGACAGCCCCCCAATAACAAGTGATCCAGTCCCAGATTCCAGTAGAGCTGAGGTTGGGATACCCTGACCGAGAGCTCTCTATGAGCATTTACACACACACATATGACTGTATAAAACATTAGGCTTTTGCCTGTATGGTATGGCTCAATGGGTCAGTGTTGACCCACGAATCAGGAGTCATTGTTTGATTCCTGGTCATGGCACAAGCCCGAGTTTCAGGCTTGATCCCCAGCAGGGGGTGTGCCTATCAATGATTCGCTCTCATCATTGATGTTTCTATATTTTCCTCTCTCTCCCTTCCTCTTTGAAATCCCTAAAAATATATAGGCTTTTTCCCCTTCTGTAAAGAGTATGCACTGCTCTTCTCTATTCTCTCCATCCATCACCAGGCCAGACTGACTCACCGCCCTTCACTGTCCTGTCCTGTGCTCCAGAAGGTCGGCCTCCCCAGGGGTCCTTTCCGCTGGCTTTCCCTTGGGTTCAGCCCATAAGAGGCTTGCAAGGAGGCCAGCAGCAGGAGGAAGGAGATGGAGGTGCTTGCTCCCCTGCAGCCTCCTTGCTCTAGTACCAAGTGTCTGGCAGTAGCTGCCTTCACTCCATTCCTGGAGCCCTGAAGCCACTAGATTCTGGGCGCCTCAGCATCCCTTGTTTGTTCTTTCTACCCTGTCCACTCCTTCAAAAGCGGGCCCTCCAGTGAGGTCTCCTCGTTGAACCACTTGAATGAGCTCTGTCTTCTGCAGAGACCCTGACTGGAACAGGATATATTCCGTGATTTTTTGATATTTGCTTTTTTACTTAATATGCCTTAGAGGTTTTCTAGATCCTTCCTTGAATGGTTACATACAGGATGTGGTTGTTTAACAAGTGGTGGATATCTAGCTTTCTCCCTGCGTTCTTTTTGTATTAAAATCAGTGCTGCGGTGAACATCCTTGAATACCTTCTCCCGCACACATGCAAGTGTTTACCTAAGGTGCGTTCTGACTTAAAGGAATATGCTTGTAAGACTTTATAGATACCCTTAACCGTTATTGTGTATGCTAGGTGTCCTATTACATGAAATACTGTGTGTAAACAGTGTTCTGTGAAGTGCTGCATAAATGTTTTTCAATGTAAAACTCCCTGGGAAAATACATGCTCTTCTGTTCAGCCATCATGTAATATTAATTATATCAAACAAATCTTGATGCTTTTACTATCTTCCTTTTAAGTGAGAAGCTGGGCAAAATAACACCAAAAAGCACAGCATGCTCACGTGTGTGTAAACAGGGGGACTAGCATGGCGGATAATCATGGGGTGCCTTTGCCCTATCTTGCCTTCTTCTGTTAATGGATCCGTCCTTCCTGCCACAGGGTGGGGTGTACATGTGACCAGCTTGGGCCATTCACGGTCGATCTACTGCGCTGGTCAGGATTATTGGTTAAAGGGGTGAACGTGAGAGGCAAGACAAATGCCATTCTACCGTCCATCCATCATCATTTAAGCTGGCTGGTGTTAAGTTTCTATCCATTGCTACCAAGGGTCCTAACTAACAAGGTTGATACACCTTTTAAAATCATTTGCAGCTTTTAAATGGGTACAATGGAAACTTACTAGTAAAGTTACCACTCTCTCCTGTGTTCAGGAAAAACGTTTGTCCCACGGCGCTGGTGTTCCTCTGAAATTGGTCAGCATAGTGCCCCATTTTGGGACATCCTGTGACTGGACAAGGAAAACAGCCATTCTAGTGGAAAAACAAAAATCTGTCTGTGAGTGGTAGGCCTTTCATTCATTCACTCACTCAATGATCAACTCATCTTCCCATCCATGCATCCATCCATCCCTCCCTCCCTCCTTCAATCATCCACTCATTCATCTGATCATCTTCCTATTCATCTGTCCATCTACCCTCCATCCATTCATTAATGCATCCATCTCACCTATGCTGTCCAGGCATCCTTTGAGAATTTTTCAGAATGAAAAGTTGGGGATATAGGGAAGGCGCCCCCTGGGTCAGGTCTGTGCCATCTGCCGCCTGCCCACCCCGCTCCCCGGAGGAAGAAGGCTCTGCGAGGCTCAGCATTACCAGCACCTCCTCTTACTAGTCGTGGAGTTACATCTCTGCTCTGTTCCAAGCCACAGGGACAAAACTAACAACCACAGAGCCACCCCACCCTCTCCAGGCCCCTGGTGAGACCCACCTCCTGAAACTCCTCGTAGGAGGCACAGGGGTAGCCCAGGAAGCCATCTGGGTTGAGGATGCTGCTGGAGTAGTACCTGTGGCTCCTCATGTGATTGCAGAATACAAGGTTTCGGGTTACTGAGGAAGCAAAAGCCACAGGAGCTCTCAGGAGAATCTCACTTTTGAAGCTTGAATGTTCTGACCTGAATAAGGAGTCACCTCCTCATTTCATAGAGGGGAGTCAGCATTTTTGAATGCCTGGGTCACAATTCTAAGTTCCTGTCATTGACTTTGACATATTTTGGGGCAAATAGTTAATGATCAACATTTACAGCACATAGAGATGGTATCTAGGGGCTTCTTCAGTCATGTGGTTTGGCTCTGGTCACTTACCTCTGCCCCCCATGTGCCCGTGTGCTGAGCAGGGCCTGTTCGGAGCTGGGCACGTGCTGGGGAGGGACGAGTTCTAACAAGGACCTGTGTCCTATCCTCCAGGGGCCAAGCTTCTGACAGAAGTGAAGGATGAGGTCTGGGGGCCATGGGGATAGTTAGAAAAATATACACAAAGGAGAGACAGAGAGAGGAAGAGAGAGAGAGGAGAGAGAGAGAGAGAGAGAGAGAGAGAGAGAGAGAGAGAGAGAGAGAGAGAGAGAGAAAGAGAATAGCTTTCAAAAGGAATCTTACACCATCAGCCATTTGTTGAATGTTAAGACCCAGATTGCTTGGTCTTCTGATTTTTCATGAGAAACCTGCATCTTCAATTTGACATGACAATGTTCCATGCTTACATGACAGCAGTGCATTCCCTCTTTAAAACTGGTCCCATGAAGGCCGACTACCGGCTGCTTTGGGCAGGGCTGGGCCAGAGGGCCCCAGTTTGAGAACCAGGGACCATACCTGCCTGGCCTGTCCCAGGAATGCAGATTTTCTGTGCCCATGGCCCCAGGCTGAGAAATTCCTCCTCCTTGGTAAGCCTGAGGTCAAAGCAGTGGAGACCAAGGTCCCCTGGGCCCTAGGCCACTGTGTCACTGCATTTTATCTACCGCCCTTTTCTTTAAACCCAAGTCCTCTTATTTGAAAAACTGTGTTTTTTTTTTATTTCTTTTTTTTCTTTCCATTTTTCCAGCTGCTTGGTACAAAACCTCTCATGGTGTGATGCACAGTGACCCCAGACATACCTGGGGACCACTTCTGGGAGGTCTGGGGTCCTCTTTGGGCTGGTGGATTAGCTCTGCCTGCCCCATGGCCCAGGGACTCCTGCACCAGCACTCATCACCAGACAACACAACCTGTTTCAAACTTAATTGTTTCTTTCACCCAGAATTGCTGCACAGGGATCCATAATAGAGGGGCAAGTGGATTTAATTGTTCCTCCAACCCAGCGTTTGGGTGACTGGGAGCCCACACAATAGACGCACATCCTGTGGGCTTGTTCACTGTGAATTGCCCCTTTAATTAAAGCTGGGTTCCTTGCTATTATGTGGGTTCTGCTGGCTGCTTCTGGAAGGGGCAGCCTCATGTGACTCAGTGTTCCACAAGCAGGTCTTCCCTGGAGTTACCTGGTGCGGGGCAGAGCGCTGAAAGGCTCCAGTGGCTGAGGGTGGATGTTGGCTACTGCTTTATCCACTCTATTCATTCACATTAAGCACATGGAATATTCAATGCCACAGAAGGCCTCTCTGCTCAGTGGAGTGGGCTGTACTGAGCGCCTGCTCTGGACCAGCCCTGAGCAGGGTACTGGGGTATCTGGGATGCCCGGGAAACTCCCAGCGGAGACAAATAAACACTAAAATGAAATGATGGCAGACTCAAAGCCTCCATGTTCCGGGGAGAGATGAAGCCTGATCTCCAGGGAGAGGCACCAGGAGAAGAGCAGAGGCCAGACAAGGACAGGTGATAGAGGTGGTGCTTTAAGTCACCTCATCGTAGGGGGATTGAGCCTGTCTCTCAAGTAAACATAGACCTCATGTGTACGAAAAAGGGGCCACATACTAAACCTGAGAACCTCAGGGGAGGCCTGCATGGTGGCCTTACAAACTCAGAGGCCGAAAGGAACTACCTGATCCTAAAAATTCCTAATTGAAAGTTGGTCATGGAGGGTAGTCCTGTCCCAGGCCTATAGCTTCCTTGACAAATGTCAATCTTTATTATTTTTTTTTAATCCTCACCTGAAAATATGTTCATTGATTTTTAGAGAAAGTGGAAGGGAGAGATAGAAACATTGATGTGAGAGAGAAACATCAATCAGTTGCCTCCCATATGCTCCATTACCAAAAATCAAACCCAAAACCTTTTTGGTATATAGGACAAAGCTCCAACCAACTGGGCCATCCAGCCAGGGTGACAAGGAACCTTTACCTTAAGTGAAACTGTTTTCTTTTTGCATCTAAGAAAATGCACCTTTTAAATATCAAAGTAATCCTTTCCAGATCCCTCAGGGCACCCCCTTATAAGAGCACCAGATCCCAGAACTCCTCACTGTGACCTTGTTCCCCAAATACCACCTCTATGTGCTGTCCATGTTGATCATTAGCTATCCTGTTCCCACCCATGTAAAAGAATGTGTCTCTCTATTTTACTTTTTATCCAGTTCCAGAGATTCCCAGTTTTACTTTCCTCCCCCTCCCTAATCTACCACCCGTGGATTTCATGGAACCCCTATGTCTCCTGATTTTATTCTAATGTATAAAATAAGCCGCAAAACTGCCATTCTCCGGAGCATGTTCTCAGTCCGTTGAGATTTTGCTGCCCAGCAATTGTCATCAGTTTGGCTCCAATAAACTCATAAAAATTCTCTACAGGTTTGGAATTTCTGACACTGACATGCACAAGCCTCATCCCCCCTAGACCTCCAGGCCTCCTGCTCCCTGCACGCGCTCCCCAAACCCACAAAGCCTGTCCCCACTCGGTCCTTTTACCAGATCAGTCCCTTTCCCATTCCAGCACCTGCCCACAGCAAAGGGCAAGAAAGTCAAAGCCCTTGCAAGCCTTTGTGGGCACCCTTCAAGGAGCAAGCAGTGTAAGCAGCTGGGGTGGGTGTGGGGCACAGCTAGAACTAGTATTTGTCAACGTGCCCGTCCAGCTCAGGCCTCAGCATCCTCGTAGGGGGGTTGACACTGGCTGTGTAATCATGGGTCCCAGGTTTGATTGGGTATGAGATTGGGACTTTGCAGCCAGAAACTGAACTTTAATATAAGGTGGCCTTGGGCAAGTTTGATAACTGTTCAGACCCAGTTTCTTCAGCTGTAAACTGGGGATAAGCAGAGTAATTCCCTCAGGTAGTGACAATGCCTGGGAGAGAATAAGCTGGACATGGAGGCAAATTCAGTGCTACCAGGGCCCGGCCATGCATCCTGCCTTCTCCCCAGGGAGGTCACTGCCATCTTGCTTTGCTAATGCACGTACCGTCCCGGAGTCCATTTATATCATCAATGGACGAACGGATAGTTTTCTCACATCCAGGCATTTGCTCTCCTCCGTTTGGATAGAAATCCAGATGGCCCACCTTCTGGCTCATTCCAAAACCTGAAACATGGGAAGAGGCAATGAGCAGGGAGGGAAGGGGTCCCCAGGCCAGGTCATGGCCCCAGAGAGCGTCCGACTCCTTCTGACCACAGTGAGAGTCTTCTTGGTGAACTGTCCCCTCAGCACAGCCACCCCACCAGGCTTTGCAAAAGCCTCTCCAAGATGATCCCATAGCAAGACAAGGAAGGGGGAGTGAGCAGAGGCAGTGAGCATGCCCACATGTGTATTTGCATGAGTGTCTGTCTGTCTGTCTGTCCTGGGGAGGCTGTGACAATACCGATATCCCCTGATACCATTATGCATCATAGACACCTATCAGGACTGGTGCAATTCCCATTCCTGTACTCATTCTGAAATTTTGATTTCTATGTTAGAAGATTATATTGAGATCTCATTGTTGTATTGAGAGCCCAGCATAATGGCTGGACACTTTGGCTTTTTATGCACACAGACCCGTGATCACATCCTGGTCCTATTTACACACCCCTCTTCTCAGGCAATTACTAAAGTTTTCAAGCCTCAGGATCCTCAGCTATGAAACAGTAATAATAATGCCCACTTTCTAGGGTTGTTACCATGATTAATGAGCGAGTATGTACAAAATGTCCAATGCAGCCCATGATAACTCTATTATTAAAAACATACCCTTTGTTGGCATGTTTCATGAGGTGTTACATAAGAAAATATTGAAAAAAGAACATTGAGTTCATGTAATATTACTTTTTTACATAATTTTATTTATTTTAAATTTTCATTTCTTTAAGCTAACAACAACTCACCCATTTTATTTTAGAAGCATTAAATAAAGGAATATATTTCATTTCGATCGACACAAACTATAACTAAAGTTTCCACAAATGAAGTGAGCAAAATATTCAAACATTAACATTTAATTTTGCAAGTATAGGTCAAGCATCTACACTAATAAAAGACAAAGATGCTAGTTGACCGTAACTTTGCTATGCCCAAGCCATGCCCACCAGCCAATCAGAGTGACTATATGTAAATTAACCCAACCAAGATCGCAGCTGGCAGCCACGGCGCTGGAGCCAGCAGGAGGCTTGGTTTCCCCAGAGATGGAGGAAGCCAAGCTCCCCCCCTGCTCTGGCCAGCTGTGGCCTCCACAAAAGGCAACGAAATTTCAATTATAGATGCTAAATAAATCCCAGATACCTGCTTCCAGCCAGCCTCCACTGGGAGGTTGGGTGGCTGGGGGCTGTGGCCAGCCTGCTAACAGCCATCAGCCCCTCACCCAGGATGGCCACACACTCATGGGATGAGGGTCCCTGCTAGGGGCCTTGGCTAGCCTGCAAACAGCCATCAGCCCCTCACCCAGACTGGCCAGGGACCCCAGCAGGACCCTCCACCCTGAAGGGGCTGTGGCCAGGCTGCAAACAGCCATCAGCTCCTCACCCGGCCTGGCCAGGCACCCCATTAGGGATCCCTACCCTGAAGGAGCTGTGGACAGCCTGCAAACAGCCATCAGCCCCTCACCCAGGCTGGCCAGGTACCCCAGCAGGACCCCCACCCTGATCCAGGACACCCTTCAGGGCAAA